TGTTAATAAAGAAAACGAATAAGGTTAACTCAGAAAAAAATTCTGGAGGATTGATAATTAAACTTCTTAAAAAAAAAGGTAGGTGATACTTGTATGAGCAGGTATAAGCTGATGGTTTGTAAAAACATTTCTACCAATAATATTTGTGCCAGTGATTATCGGTTGAAATGAACTTCATTTATCTCCTTATCAAGAAGAGTTACATGTAAGCTGTTGATGGATGATATTGCTTGCCAGTGTTGTAGTTGAGACCATCACAAGACCATTTGAAAGACCATTTGCAAGACCAGTCACAAGACCAGTCACAAGTAATAAAGTAAGCAATGACAAGGCAATACTTTTGTTGCAGTTTATTTGAATAGCTTGTGACTTGAATTTGGTCTGGAGGCCTTGCGTTGGACTTGTGATGCTCTTGTTTGGTCCTGTAATGGTCTTAAGAGGTCTCAATCACAACACTGTTGCTCACATGGAGTGTCTCGCACAGGCGTAAGATTGTAGGTACATGTAGTTTGGAGTATCCATTCTGATCCACCTGGGTTAGAGGGCTTATTGGCTAAGGCAAGTAGGTCAGGTATTTTATAAGGCCATTGATGTCTACTGCATTTTCAAGTGTAAAATTGCTTTTTTCTCTCCTTTTATTTCAATGCAGGTGTGGGAACTGGAGTCTGGCAAGCAGGTCTACCATGTGACCAACTCACATGGTCCTAATGTGGAGGTCACGGCCATTGCTGTAGACAGGACAGGGTACAGGCTGGCCTCGGGGGCACTGGATGGTAAGGGTGTAACAGCTGGCTTTGAAGTGACTGAGTTGTTTTTATGTGCGCGTGGTGTACTGATTTCGCACTGATCTTTGTGGGCAGGCATTTTCATGAAGGTTTCTTAGAACCCTGTTGACCATGCATGCTGTCATTAACCATGAGGTATTGTGCCCATTGTCCAGTTGCCTCTCCATCTAGATTCTGTGGTGATAGGTTCAAACCCCGATTGGTGTCCTGCTGCTTGTGTTCTTGGGCAAGACACATCACTGCAATTGTATCTCTCCATCCAGGGGTGGACATTTTGCAAGTTGGGCTTACAGAAGAGATTGTACAGAGGGCCAAATCCCAAAGTCATCAGTGGAGAGAAGCTGTTCCTGTGCCAAACTTTGTAGGCATAGATTAATCTCAAAAAATCAGCCATGACCTTAACACTGTCCCCATCACTAATCCAGTGTGAGAAAAACAACCGAGAGAGGAGAGATGCTCAAAGTGAAAAAAAAAAGATTTGTCCTATCCACAGGCGAGTGGTCGGTCCTTAACCCCTTCCTGTCCTCAGTGTTAAGTGCCTGTGCATTTATAGTCCATAGACTATAGACAGACCCCTGGAGTGTCCAGGGGTGCATCAATTCAGCTTTTTTGTGAAATTTTTGCTCTGAAGTTTTTTGTTTACACCTGCTCTGTACTATACTGTGGGACTTTTTAAAAAGTCAGCTTTTTGCTGGCTGTTTTCAGCCTTTTTTTATTTGGCCTCTCACACCCCTGTATGTTGTAGGAACAATAACAAACACATGTCTGGTTCTCTATGGCATGGTAAAACACGACTACATGTTTGAACTCATTTACATGTAGCAGGAAGCATACATAATCATAATGAGGGCTAACCTTCTTTGCATGGGCACAAGGGCATGTTGTTAAGTGTAGGCCCAATTTCTTTCTGTGTGAGTTGTGAGGGACCTAGAGTTACTTGTGCAAAGACTTCCCGTGGAAATTACATGTCTGCTGAATGTATGGAGGAATAAATTCCTCCTTGATCTAACTCATGACTTTCAATCCCGACGTTGCCCAAAGGGTCTCTGAAGGTCTGGGACTTTGGCAGCGGCCAGGAGATCAGGTCCTGGACGCCGAGCCAGGAATCAGAGAAAGATGAAGACGTTGGTGTCACCAGCGTGCTGTACATCGAGGTGAACGAGAAACGCTACATTGTGGTATCTGGATGGAACAACAAGCTGAGACTGCTTGAGGTAAAGGCTAAGCTTCTCACCAACCCCCCTCTTTTTTCCACACCCCCCTCTTTTTTCCACACCGCTTCTTTTTCCAGAAATGGTCACTGGTTGGCATCACCTTGTTGTCTGGAGCATTTTTACAGTTTGATCCGAATTGTCGTTTGCTAAACTTCTTATTTAACCAAAACTCATTCAGAATGAGACACGCCAGCAAGGTTAAGTTACATCATGAAGTACAACTGAAGTACTCTAATAAACTTTTTGCTGTAGTGTATCATTTACATGTAGATCCAGGTCCAAGTTATAATACCTTAATTTTGTCAGTGAGAAACAAAAATTTATCATGAACAATTCACAACGGAAGAAGTTTATTGAGTCATGTCAGTGAAAAAAACTGACTCCATTATAGGGTTCACACTTGACAAGAATTTTGTATTTCTGGAAATACCTCGTAGACGATTTAAGCCCATTCTTCCTCTTGATTAATTTAATAACAAATCTGTTGTATGCATGTGTCTTTATTATCCTTATGCATGTTAATATGCAAGCCACAGTTTTAACCTAAAACGGAATTCAAGCATGCAGTTCCTACAAAGGACTTGACTGTGTCAAGATATGTTTCTGACAATTAAAGAAGTGGATCTTTAAAGGATGTTACAAAATCCTGTTATAATTCTTTGTAATCATTCTCTTTTGCAACCCTTTCAGGACTCGCTTGACGCAGGTGATTTGACTCCCTATGCTGAGTTCTCGGACCTGTTTTGCCTGCCATTGAACACGCCATCCAATCACCCACTGAGCATGAGCAGTCGCAGCTCGAGTCCCTTCAGCCGGACACGGCCGTTACCGAGCATCGGCCACATCTCGGCACAGGTCACAAACATCACCAGAAAAGTAAGGACTAATGCCGATGTTGTGGTGGGAGTGTATGTGGCCTGATGGTTTGTGACTTATGATCAGAGAGTCAGGGTTTCAAACCCTCCTGTTGGCTATACATTCTGTGTCCTTAAGCAAACTACTTCACTCCAATTTGCCTCTTCATCCAGGGTTATAAGTGGGTGCAGGCATAAGTTGTAGAATTAACCTTGGTGTACTTGCAAGGGGACTGGAAACCATGACAGTCTTTTCATTTCTGTTGAAAATAAGTCACATACACTCAATCCCCTTCACACCTCTGTGAACGCTATGTTTGCTGAACTGGCTTTCATTGGTGCATTTCATAGCACCATCTTACTGAACTAGTGGTAACCCAGAATTTGATGCAAATGATGTAACTTTTTAAAGTTACCTAGCCTTTCGATAACCTCCTCTCATGTTCAGCATACATTTTGTGTTTGACTTTTATTTAAGAGGAAGAAATGATAATAATAATTATAAATAATAAGGAGGAGGGAAAGTGCTCTCATCTCACTGGACATTTAAGCTTGGTCACAAGACTTTGCCCAAGCACATCGGCCAGCCTCTTTGCATCCCAATTAACAACTGTAACTGGTTGGTTCTTTTCTGCAGGATAACGTCTTGGAGAGTCATGAGGTGACGTGCATGGTCGCCCTCCCACCCGATTCCCTAGCAACTGGCTGTAGTAATGGCAACATCATTGTGTGGGACACCATCACAGCAGCAGTACAGCAAGTGTGAGTGATCAGTCCATGATATGGGAGGGGACTGTTGGACTCAGAGCAGTAGGGAAAACCGTATTGGTAACTTCACTGAACGAGCACGTATCTCAGTTTTGTTAGGACTTGTTTTCAAGGGAAAAATGCAAACATGTATTCTTACATGTTCAAGGTAGCTTGATCCATACAGTAGGTTCTAACATGGAACAGGAAATTGGCCAAAATATTTGTACAAGAAGTGTTTTTTAAGCTCTTGTTCCCTTTTTTGGTTCCGTTTCTCATCAAATGCTTCAGTTTTATAGACTTTCTTCGGAAAACAGACAAATTTAGCACTGCAAAGGACTTTTGAAATCTGTGATTGGTACTGGTTGTGCACTGAATCATTGTTTGATTTAGGTATTTATTTATACTTTATAGGTCACAGTCGCATTTGGTGATGACACAAAAAATTCCTCAAATAAGTGTCCACGGCGCACTGTAGTTTCATAGCCTAGCTCGAAACGTAAATTTGTTTTTCAATGTGTTTTCCAATCAAATCTGACCCCTTTGTGTCCACACGTTCCAAATTATAGTTTCCGACTGTACGAGATGCTACCAAACAGCAGGAATGAACACGGCGAGAAGACGGCACACCCACGACGAGTCAACTCACTGCTGCTGATGGTACACAGGACAAGGAAACCAGACCCGGCTTATATCAAGTGAGTTTTCATAATCGGAAAGGAAGTTGACTAATTCTCATTGCTTCAAGAATTAAAGCTCATTGAATGCAGCTCTTCCAAGGGCCAAGGTAAATAGCACATAATGTGGGTACAAAATGTCTCCTTTACTGTCATGTATCAAGTTCCTTCATCAGTTCAGTTGTGACTGGATGTGGTAACAGAATATCAAATACTGTGCAGTATTTAATCTTATAAGGTGGAGAACTACTCGGTGTGATGATTACAAACAAGAGTGCCATAGGAAGAAGTGAAAGGATGAAAAGGATGAGCTCAGCTATGCCAGTCAGTCCTTCTTGTCAGACCTAAGAGGACCGCTGATTGGCCAGAATGCACCATCCTTGCATGATATCTTTTAAAATTTGCTCACTTATGTAGATACTCTGATTCATTGCCTATCATTTATTTGTTCGCTCTCTGGGTAAACAGTCCGAAAGAAGCGACTGAGTTTGATTTGTACCACACGGAATATCTTTTATCACACTTTGTGTCAATTGGCTGTATAAGTGACACACTAGCCATGTTTCTAGTATCACAATTCCGCCTCCTAATCTCTGCCCCTCCCCTTTCCCTTCACAGGAAGTTGACGGGGCACGTCTCACCCACCTTCCTCACCCCGTCCAGTGGCGAGAAGGACACAGACGGAGACTCCGTGGCTGACACTAGGTCCCAAACTGCGACTAGCCCATCAAGGATGGGCACCGGGCTGGCCCCGGTGATGCTGGACCCTGTGGCCGAAGAGATGGACACCAGCCAAGACAAGCAGGTCGCACCAGGTGCGGCATCGATATAAACATGAGATTGTTTTTGATTGGCTTTATGTTCGTGTGTTCTTTGGAACTGTCTTCTCATTCATGCTCGTCCTCGGAGATTAAAATGCAAACAAATATGTGATTATATTTTTGGCTCCATTTCTGCCTTGCATCCATGTCAAGGGCATTATCCCTACAAAAAGACAACATTTTAATGAATATTCAGGTGAAATTTTGACACCTGAGCATCCCTTGTGAGTCTAAGCCTAAGAGTTGTAAACACTAGTGTTTCCTTTGGTATGTGCACAAATACAGATGGTTTTGGTACTGTGCGTCACTCTTGAGTCTTTGCCCACCTTCATGCATCTTTGTAACTTCTGTGTCTTGGCTGTTACTTTTCTGCAGAGGAAGAAGAGATTGAGGCAGGGAGCCAATGGAAGACGAGGCCGGGAAAGATGAGGAGCTGGAGAGGCAGCCAACCCCAGAGGGCGCTGTACATCCTGATGACACAGATGAAGAGCTGGATAACATAGACCCCACCGCCAGGATGATTGTCACGACCTACGACCCTGTCCTGGTGTCGTGCCATTCGGACGCCTTCATACGCTTCTGGGACATGAAGGTGTGTGCCTTGCAGGAAAGAAAATCAACCATATGAAAATTGCTTTTTGACGAATGATGTTTCTCTTTGGAGTATGTAGAGTGGTGCTTAAATATAATATGCAAAATGGGTTGTGAAAATCAGTTTCCTTATTGGCATAATTTGCCAATAATGGCGATCAAAAACATGGCTGTAATTTGATAACGTGAAAGTTGATCGCAGCCTCAATTCTGTTTGACAATTCTTTTATGGGATAAAACGAGATGGGAACTATTTAAAGAAATACAGTTCTCAAGTGGTTTGTCCCTTTTTTATGTGTGTGTGCATTTTAGGGTGAGATGGTTCGTGAGATCTCTGCCATGACAAGGAGACAAGGTTCACCTGTGACTGCTGCATGCTCAGATGAAGACTGTAATGTACTCGTCACAGGAGACAACAGTACGGTTACATTATCCCTTATTCCTGAGAAAAGTAGCTCTCTGTGAAGATAACATTGCTTACCCTCTGCTCACTGTTGCCAAGCAACAGGAAAATAATTCTTTGAAGGTTGTGAGAAACCACGACTCTATAAAGTTCAAGCTTTGACCCTGTGATGACTTTTTATACACTGGGAATCTACCTGTGGTCACACACACTGCTCAATGTTATTCAATGTTACCATGGGTATGGACAAGCACGGAAAGGTTGAACACTGCTCCTTTACTTACTGCTTAAAAGTTTTAAGAAAAGTTCTTCTGACCAAAGTCAAGCATTTACTTTGTAATCCAGCTTTGGAGCATTTGAACATTTTTAAACTGTAACATTGTAGGAATGTAAAGTCTGAATGGTTTAAATGACAGGATTAAACGGCTGTGTTTTCATTCATTTCTCAATACTTTACCTGCAGAATTCATCCTTGCTCAGAGTTCATTTTATTCACACGTACTCGATACTGTATTTGAGGCTTTCCATTTTTGAATTTCTGCAATCAGAATTGAAAATGTTATTTAAAATGACATTTGAATGTCACTCTTTTGGACCCCTAATTTCTGGAATTACCCATTTTTGCAAAGAATGGTTGATTCCACTTCATTTTGTTCCTTGTACAGAGGGCTACATTACCATGTGGAGTGTGGGCTTGTTTCTAGAAAATCCTCAGTCAGATGACAATGTGAGTAGCTTTGACCCTCCACCTGGTGTATTGAAATACACATCTAAACATGTTCCATGTGGCATACTGATTGACAAGCCAATTAAATGCAGATTGATTTCATTTACTTTGATTCATTTTACCTACCGCCATTTGGCTCTTGGCAAGTTCTGTCAAGGACTGTAAATTAACTGCAGCAGAAGGAGTGTTTCATTGCCATCATACAGTGGAATCTTCAACAGTGGCTGGAGGACTAGACTACCATTTAACTGTCCCAGCTGACCAAGGTTTAGAGTTGTCATCATGAGTTTATCTCACGCCCATCCAGTGTTACGCGGTCTCGAGACAAGCACAGGCTGTTCAAGTCAATTATGGCAAAAGCATTTTATTGTCGCTGTTCAATCTGTTCCTTTACTGAACACTTCAACCTGACATGCATGTATGATTGACTCATGACCGGCTATATTACAACTTTGCCATGAGTAATCACATTGCTGGTTGTCTTTATAGCCATGAGTAACATCAGCAGCCAGACCTACTTGAAGGTGTTCTAAAGATATGTTTAACCAAGGTTATATTGGTGAGGAGGTGCCCAGCCGTGGACCAGCCACTACAGCTGTCTTGGGTCAAGTTCGACTTTGCTGTGACATTACTGTGATTTTGATTTGAATTTGCTTGGATTTATTCTGATAGGAATTAATCAAACAGCTGATTAGCTGGAGAGGCCATCTAAGCAGAATTGTCACCTTGGTCTATGCCAATCATATGAAGTCCATCATCTCTGGCTCCATGGATGGGTCAGTCAGGTAAGGCACACCATTTTCATCAGTCGTCACGCCAGATGTTAAGAAGTGCATCAGCATTCTGTTTGCACTCAGCGGTGCTACTCAAAGATGCTACACGCTTGTGCATGAAATTACATGCAGTAGCAAAATCTGTGTCCAACCTTTTTGCCATCTGCTATTCTCAGTTAGAATCCGTCAGATGTGGCCAAGCAACACCTTCACAATTTTAGTGAAGAGATGTACATCGCACCTCATAGCAAGCTCAATAATGGTGGCCCCTGGTCTTCACCTCTGTATATGAGAGTGTTACCAGCCTAATCTTGGCCTAGGCATTCTAAAAAAGCTGGAAAAATTGAAAATTGTACATCTCAGGGAAACAGATGACTGTTCATTTATAACAGTGTCAGATGCTGAGTCCAACGAAGAACATACGCACTTCCTAATTTGGGTAGGCCTTCCTGGCATTAGGGGGACAGTTTCTTTGTTATGAATGTTAGGACTGATTTGTGGGGACAAAAGCTTGTTCCTGTATTGTTCTTGTCCCCATAACATCTATGTTTCAACACATGCAGTCCCCACAACCGAGTAACAAGTATTAATGAACACCATGTGTTATTCCCGCTGTAATGTGCTACCCCATTCCAGGCATTTCTGTTGGACTTTTCCAGGCATTTGAGTTCGTCAGTAGTCAAGATAAAGTCTTTTGTTTCTGTCGTCTCCTACTATACCCCTGCATCCCCCCTCCTCTTTCTTCCTTGTCCCCTCCCACCCCCTCTCAGGATGTGGTACGGGGAGGACCCAGCCAGGGGTCACTTCATGGGCTTCTTCAGCCAGCACCGCCCCTGGAACTTCCCAAGTCTGGAGAGGAGCAACACCCCTGTGCTGCCCTATGACATCACGGAGGGGCCCCTCAAGCCCATGAGGAGCACCAACGAGAGGAAGAATAAGACAGCTCAGCAGAGCTACGAGTACCCGCTGGTGTTTGCCGACGATAGGTAAGAGTGTGCAGTGAGCCCCAAGGCCCCCAATTTGCCAATGGATCATCTGTTGCTTCTTCCCCATCATTTTCACAAGTGCAGAAAGTGTCATGCCGGGAGGGGGGGTGGTTGCCTTACGTTATGCTCTTCTAAAAATTATTAAAAATGATGGTAGCACCCACAACAGATGCCATTTTTCTTTTCCTTTTTATTTGCTCCAGCAGGAACTACTGAGTCCGCAAAGAAAAAAAATGATGCTTCATGCACTTGTGAAATTGATAGGAAAAAGTCTATTCACGTTAAGCAGAAAAATTGCAACTATTGGCAATAATCTACAGAGAATCAGTCTCTAGCAATGTACATGACATGACATTTGAGCTGTTGAGCTCTTTTCTGGCAAGTGCTTTCACATGGTTAGCACAAGTTTGGGTCTATCAGGTCGACATCAGTCCCGTTGTTTGAAATTATAAACAAAACACAAATACAGAACGTCTTGGCAGAATACCTGTGCAGCTTATATAATATTGCAAGTTATGGTGGATATGACAAATTTTAATCGTCTTTATCACTCTGAAGCTCAACTTGACATATCTTTCTAGGCATTGTTCACAATTCAGTGAGAAAGAAACCTTTCTTTGAAAACACTGAATACTAAGCTAGGGTTGAAAAAGACCTTTACTTGATGATTGGACCATACAGTCCACAACCTCTCAATCAATATTCCAACAGTTTTAACTAGAGACCATCCTGAGTGACTGGTGTTCTTCCAAAACAAAGAAGTTCTTTAATTTTATTGTGCAGCATCCATGGTTTTCCAGGATATTCTGACTGCATTTCATGATTTGAAGGTTTACCAAGTGGACTTAACAGAATGACTAATGTCCCCAGTGGTACCATGTGAATCTCTTTCATGAGTGATGTTCTGAAGAGAACCACTGAGTGCAATGTTTGATCTATTTTCATTATTGTCAGCAATGCTGGGGCAAGTTCCATCAAGGTCTTAACCATAGTTTGACTAACTTTGATCGAACGCTCACCAGTCAATGATGGTTAGACTAGTCTAGTCAACTATTCGCAACCAGCCTATAGAGGTTGGTCGCATCGTTGGTTGCCATTAAACGTTTTTGATAGCACAGTGCAGAGAGAACCAGTTATAAGAGATATGTCAGAAAAACAGTGTGTCACTAGCAACCACCATTTCCACTTTTATGTTTGCTATTTACCCTTCCAGTGGCCGGTGGACTAGGGTCATTCACACTTCAACTTTACTGCACATGTGTTAGGTACATGATGAACTAACCACTTGTAAACTAATAGTCCTGGATTGAACTTGCCCCTATTTTTCTCTGTCAATCCCTGGCAGGTGGAAGCCGTTTCGACGGTCAGCCTATGCCCAGAGTAGACTCAGACCTAAGGAGCCAGAGGACATGAAGTTCTTTGAGGCCCTGCAGAAGCCGCAGTTCTACAACGACCACCTCAAGAGTCGCAAGACAGGGGAGATGAGCTTGGGGGCAGTCTTCAGGGCCTTGCCCGTCTACACGGTGCGTCTAGCTTCAGGTTACACCCCCTCGCTCATTGTCGCTCTACCCCAGCTGGGCCCAATTTTGTGCAATGGCTAAACAGAAAATATATTCCTTAACAAATTTATGTAGTGAGCAACAACTTGCGGAGAACCAGTCGCAAGAATTATACATTGTAATGGCATTTTAGCCGGTAACCTGTTCTTGTTAATTATAAATTTCCTGTGCTGAGCTGATTTCTGTCCTTAGCAACACTACATTGGCCCCTTCAAAGTCCAACAGTCGCAGTTTGGCTTCATCTTTGCACTCTTGTTGGTGATTGTACAAGACTTAACCAGTATGGTTTTTCAAAAAAGGCAAGGTTATTCTGCAAGAACAAAGCATGAGTGTGAGGCAGCATATGGGGGCACTAATAGGGCAGACCTTGTGTATGTATTCTCAAAGGACCTTGGGTTTTCTTCATTTAAAGCATGCCTTGTTGGAATATTGACCTGGAACACTTTAATATTGTAACCTAGGCCTGCAGCCTTGCATAACCTTTGCACACGCAACAAAAGTAGAATGTGCTTCTGCCAGACAGCATCATGTGATCAAACACTGGTTCTAGAAGTAGATATAGACATTTCTGGGTCATATCGGGTTCAAACATCGTCTTGTCGTATGCCAGCCTCAACTGTTCTTGTCATCTATTGAACAGATCTTGAAATGTATATAGAAGAGAAGGCTTTATCATTGCTGAATTAGGAAACACTGCTGCCCTTATGTAAGACTTACTGGTACATTGTGAGTCCATAGTTTTGTTTTTAGCCAACATTTAAGTGTTTTCCTTCTATGGGAGACCCCAGAAGCTTGTGCAACTTCAGTTAGATATTTGGTTCGAGTGCGATGTGCACTGTCCAAGGACAGACCCTGACTGGGACATATCAGGCCAATGCAAGCCTCATGCTCAGCTGTCATAGGTAGACCTACTAATCTCAAGTGGTTATCTTCCATTTTTTTTTTAGAGTTTCCCTAATGTATTAGAGCCCGTTTTGATTCTTGTAGGTGAGTACTCCAGATCGTGTGAAGACACCAGCCATGGAGTACGGTAATGCCTCCTGGACCACAGACTCATTCCTCTTTGCCCCGCCTCCTTCCAAACCTCTCAAGTCAACCTCGCCCACCAAGGAAACAGGAAAGGTATCACAATTCAAGTTCTTAATCTTACTTTATTTTAGTAGTGGCGACACAACCAAAGGCACGACTTTGACTTAAAGTCAGGAGCAGTTCCATCTTCCACCCCTAAAAGCTTGCCATCCCTTACACAGCTAAAGTGCAGTCCACGTGGTTATGACAACCTCCCATGGCATCACAGGACCCCTCCTCACGGGCCCACAGATACCTCTGCCCTGTTGCTGCATCAAATCTCTCCTCGCAAGGTAGCTCTCGGTTCCTGAGGTGCAGTGATACAGGCAGGATGTATGTTGTAAAGCAGTGCCAGATTATCAGGTTTGTTTTGTTGTGTTTAGATGAAATCTCAGAACAAGAGGAGTGCCAAAGATTCCAGCGTGACTCTGCCCAGTGGTAGCCCCATGCCATCCCCAAGGAAGAGATAGACCAATGCCAGCTCCAAGAGTAGGTAGTTATATCATCTCCGAGGAGACTGCATCTTCAAAGAAGTGCCATTTTAAAGATGACGTACACGTTCACCCATGTCACCTCCAAGGAAAGCTCTTCTCTATGCAAGTTCCAAGAATGAGATAGACTCCCATGCCACCTCCAAGGAAGGGTAGCCCCCATGGTAGCCTCAAGGAACAGTTGCGCCCTTGCCACATCCAAAGAAGAGGTACAATAAACCCATGTCACCTCTGAGGAAGGATAGTCTCCATTGCTTGCTCAAAGGAAAGAGGAAGCCCCCGTACCCAATGCCTCCTCCAAGGAAGAGGAAGGCCCATGCCACTTCCAAAGAAGTGGTTGACCCCATGTCATCTCCACCCAGTGGGTAGTTCCTATGACACCTCCAAGGGTGGGGTAGACCCTGTGTCATGTCAAAGGAGGAGGTACACCATAGTGCTATGTATTAGGAAGAGGCAGACCCCACAAGAGCATGCCATTCAGCGTTTGTTATGCTCTGTTCTATCATGTATTATTGAAGAAACAGAACAACTTGAAGTTCAGAGAGAGAAAAAATGGTCAGTGAAAAATTTGTGACCAATTCAGGCAGGTGGATATTTCCTTTTACCGGACACATTTTTGTTTGTGTCGAGTGATGACATTTTGAATACAAGACAATTATACATTTTTCTTGAATTTTTAATACAAATGTGTGAATTTCTAGTACAGGTATTTGTAAATAGTATTTTTATACAATTAACACAACTCGAGATTTATGCAAACTTAAGTATTTTGGCCTTTGGCTGAAGTCTGTTAGATCAGTGTTTGAGATAGAATAAGATTTACACCTGTTGGTTTGTATTATGCTGCCAAGTTTCTACTTGTTTTGTATTCATATTACCACCAAGTCAAAAATGTGCACATTTTGCTTGATCAGGTTTTCAATTTTATAAAGAAAAGATTTGGACACTTTTTTGTCGGTGGGTGTTACTGTTTTGAGCTTTCTAAGACAATCATACCTTCAGCGCTTGTAAAAATAACCTTTTTATGTAATAAAATGTGCGTAACAATAAGAAGTTGCCACATAATCGACATCCTTTCACTGACTTGTTATTTTGTCCTGTTTTGACATACAGAGATCTGTGTTAGGGTTGGTGCAACCAAGCAGTGCTCTTGATTTTACAGATTTTGGGATGATGATGTACTTTTCTCGAGGTTATATTCTTGTGAAAATCTGCTCATCCCGATTTCAGTCGTAACCCACTTGACTGCTGACATTTCTTTATCACTGGACAAGAAATGTAAGTTCACGTGTGTTCTGTCCATATACAAATACGTCCTCGGGTACACAAGCATTCGCAACGTCCAGTTTTTTTTTATGAAGCGTATATATGTGCTTTCCAATCAAACATTCACACAGGAAGTGCTTAAAATAATCATTACTAGACATAAATTTTATCGGTAGATACACTTGTTTACGATGATCTCTATTTTCAAATAACCCAGAACTGGCAAAGTTGAATTGGTTTTGCTCAGCACAGTGGCTTTTTAAAATTACTCTGAGTTTCGCTGTTGAGGAGCGGGGAATAAGTAGTTCCTATTTCTCTGCGGGAAAAAAAATTGAAAATGACAATCGCGTAAAGTTTGATATTCTATAATCGAAGTTCATACATTGAATTTTATCCTGGTTGATTTTTAGGCACTTGATTTTCGAAATTTAAAGGTATTTCGTAATAGCATTTTCTGCATAAGACCATGATTTTAAGTACAAGTAGGCCCATTATTGAATGTACCTTGTCAGAAATGACAGGATTAATTTCTAAGATATCATAGTTCACATTGGAATGAGAATACCACAAATAGATCTCAATTTGAAATTGACATTATGTAATTCGATTCTTTTGCCAATAGTTCAGTCCCCTAGAAAACAGTCCAGAAAATTCCATGAAATGAAAAAGGCAGATTGGGTTGTATTAATAACCAAGTGCTTCTTTATTACTCTGCAAGACGTCCCCATCCCAAGTGCAACATGTTTACCAGCTGATGCCTTCATCATCATCGATTGCAATTTTGCGCAGGCGGGGTGTGGTAGCTCTCTTCAAACACTCATCCGAACGGAACCAAGGGTGGGCCAGTACCATCTGGATGTCTATCCTGGTCCGGGCGTCGATGTTGAGCATGCTGCGGATCAGGTCTTTGCAGTCTTCGCTGATCGCCGGTGCCGAGGAAGGGAAGTGCACCCCCCGTTGCTGTGCCTCCAGGATCTTGGCCACGTTCCGGACATCGTCCCCAAATGGCATGTAGCCGGTGGCTAGGATGTAGGCCACCACGCCCAGGGCCCAGACGTCGCCAGCGAAGGGGCAATAGGGCTGCGAGCGGATGATCTCCGGCGCTGCGTAGGCCGCCGAGCCGCAGAAGGTCTGGCTCAGCTCCCTGTAACTCGTCATTCGAGCGAAGCCAAAGTCGCACAGCTTGATGTGGTAGCCGGTACTGAGGAGCAAGTTCTCGCACTTGACGTCACGATGGGCGATGGCTCGGGTGTGCATGAAGGCAATCGCTCGGGCAGTCTGCAGGACCCACTTCTGCGCCAGAGACTCCTCAACCGCACCCTTGGATACAGTTCTCACGTACTCCAATACGTCTCCATTCTCGGCAAATTCCATGATCTGGTAGATCTTTTGGTTTTCCTCGAACCAGTCGTACGTGCGGATGATGTTGGTGCATTTCAGGAACTTGACTACACTCAGTTCCCTCGGTAGGAAACACTGCTGGTAATCCATCGGTGCCCGCCGGCGATCAATGATCTTGACTGCTAATTTGTCGAAAGTATCTTTGGTAACAGCAAATCGAACCTTGGAGTAGCTGCCTGAGCCAAGTTTCCTTCCCAAGTAGAACCCGTGCTCCAACATAACCTACATTGTGGGCATTTGGAAAACCTCACTTCAGAAACGATGTAAAAAATACGTTCAGCGCAGTACAAGGAGCAATGAATTAAGCCAACAATTCCAATTGCTTTCCCAGAACACTGAACGGCAGTTTACTAATTTTCAGAAAATAATAACCTGATTGCCTTCCATTACATGCGGCTCCGGATCGGCGTGAAACTTTGTTTTGAGTTGGCTAGAATTCCGAACTTTCTGCAAACGGTGTAGGTGGAACTTTCTTGAGCGAATAATGTCTTGAAGTGAAATTTCTTTAATCAGCATTTGTGAAATTGACATACCTCCTTATCAGAGGGAACATTCTTTATAGGAGATTCCTTCTGCACATGTCCAATGGCTGTGTCGCTCTTGGATTTGCTTGATTCAGTTGGTTTGTTTGAATGCGAAGAGGCCATGGTTTACTCCTTAATTCAAAACTTGTAAGACATAATCTTTAAGTCAGTCCTTCAGACACTGAAGATTTTTAATGTTAGGCGAGGTTTTTTAATAATGTTGTGACGTTAGTTATTTTTAGTTACAGTAACCATACATTTAGACACTGTGCTTGCGCAAACAATGAGAAAGAATCAATTTCACGCAGTTATCGCCTAATCACATTATGACGTCATTTGGAACCGGAAGAAACACGCGCGGAAAACTTTTCACGCGCGCAATGTCATTGTTCCGAAAATAATCTGAAAACAGTCCAACGGAAAAGAGCTTAATGGTCCACATCAGTTAATATGAAAAGTCCTATTGAACAAAAATTATCTTATGATTAAAATGCTAAAATAATGTAATAACTGGGAACAGCAATTGATCCATTTATTTGCAATTTGTTCAGTAGAGAAATGCGCGCCATTCGCGCCCTCCTTGGAATCTTCGATGACGTCCATGCTATTGTCCATTCAGCCAATAGAAGCACAAAGCTCTTGGTCGTGGCGTTGCTAAGAATCTGTGAATGTCACTTTCATACAGAGATTTGTGAGCGCATTGAGTCTACAAAACCTATGCGCTCTGTACAACCTTCGTACACTCTACGAAAACATAGGCCCTATGCTTTAAAAAAAACGAAATTTGGCTACTTGGTTTCGTCTGACAAAGTGAGACAGCTAGAAGAGACAGAACAATTAGGCTCCGGTCCCTATACCGGGGCGTGATCTTAATGACATGGCCACCGGCTTCCTTGCCCAAACCTTCGGCAACCCAACCCAGCCGACCTCACTTCGTAAGGCCATCAACGAGGAACACATTCTCCTCAAGCGAGGCATCGTCGTTGGAGACCTTCTTGGTGAGGGATCCTATGCCTGCGTCTACTCTGGCTTCCTCGAGAAAGAGAGGATGAAATGCGCCATCAAAGTCATCAACAAACGCAAGGCGCCCAAGGACTTCCTGCAGAGGTTCCTGCCGCGGGAGCTGGAGATTTTGAAGACCATCAAGCATCCAAATATCATCCGGTGCTATGAGATTGTGGAGATTGGGACCAAGGTGTACATATCCATGGAGTTGGCCGGACACGGGGATCTCTTGGAGTACATCAAGCTCCGCGGAGCTCTTCCCGAGGCGAAGGCCAGGAACTTCTTCCGGCAGCTCCTCGATGGAGTCTCGTACCTCCACAACAAGAACATCGTGCACCGGGATCTCAAGTGCGAAAATCTTCTCCTAGACGGCCACAACAATATCAAGATCACTGATTTTGGCTTCTCTCGTAGGATCACCAAGAGTGACCTCAGTAAGACCTTCTGCGGGAGTGCTGCCTACGCAGCGCCAGAAATCCTTCTAGGTAATAAGGACGCGTAACAGTAATTAAAGCAGTCAGGGGGCTTATTTCAACTTGGACCAAACCAATAAACTTGTCGGGCAGAAATGTTTCACCTAGGCCTACTTCCAAAATTCTTCGTACCAATCATTTGTAGTGGAGTTAACCGTTTATCAAACGTGATGCTTCATCTCAAATTGGTTACGTGTAGAATCCTTTCTTGTTAAGTTAATGGAAGCTTGTTATTTTAGAGAAAAAAATACTTGTGACACAGATAATGCTACAAAAATCTAACTGTGAGAAATGTTTGTGCTACAGGGAGACCATACCAAGGTTTTCTGTACGACGTCTGGAGCATGGGGGTGATTTTGTACATCATGGTGTGCGGTTCCATGCCCTACGACGACTCCAACGTGAAGCGCATGGTCCGAGATCAGACGGAAAAGAAGTTGGGCTTCTCCCGCTCCAAGCAGCTCACTCTCGACTGCAAGGACCTCGTCTTGAGGATGCTGACCCCGGAACCGGCACGGCGAGCCACCCTCTACGACATCCACCACCATGCCTGGATGCAGGAACCTGGTGGGCTGCCCCCTTGCGTGCCAAAGGATGACATGGAAGGGCCTCTTCAGCCCAACAGGCCCAAGCAGTCGCCGGTACCCACAGCTGATGATCCGGGGCACACCTCTTCGGGATGCAACGAGCAAGTCATCCAGACAACGAACCACGAAGAGCCACCACGTGCGGAGCGTATGCCGTTCAATCCAAAATTTGTCCCTATTTAAAGTGCCTGCTCAACCAACCTTCCCATAACTTCTTTTGTACCCACTTTCGAACATGGAAAATATATTTCACCATTAGTTGAGAAATAAATCATTTTCACAAGATTTTAAAAATAAAATTCAAAAACAGATCAAACGTCTGTCAGGCATTCACATTTAGCGTAGAAGCCCAAGAACTTACAAGACCCAATATAGAGACTTAATAGAGACCAATGAACCCGTTCGTTAAACAATAAGACACACTCTTCACAAGATTTCACGTTTCAGTAAATACAGGCACAGGACTTGGTATTCAAAGGAACTCTTCAAAGAAAAAAAGTCATATTCCTTTGAGGCAAAGCTCCGTTTCTACAATCGTATTTATTTAAAGTTATACATCATAATCATGAGGCAGGATCCCAACAAAACAGTAATGGCGAAAATGACCAGTTTTTACTGGTTTATAAAAGCAAGCACTTGCCATGCATCACCTGTAATCGCGATCTCCTGTAATCGTGATAAAAAAAAAATTCGTGCAATTGTGTTTATGCATCATAATGAAGTTCCGACTCTAAGCGATGACGAACTGCAAGAATATTTGGATTCTGCTTGGGTTTTGTCCCTAATTGGAACTCTGACGAAACTACAAGAACATGTCCACGCGATGATTAAAATGACCTCTCCCTGTTCACACTTATTTCATCAAAGGCAGTCAAACAAATAGGTCGTGAAAAAAGCTTCCCGACATTTCCTTCATGACAAATACCTGTGTTTGAATACACAAAGGAATACACATACTAAGTTTTTTCACTCAAATATGAAACAGAAAATACAAAAATATAACTACTGAGAAGAGTTTCAACACTGTCATTTTATTGAATAATAAATATCACAACAATCCAAGTTGCAGCGAAAATGTACAAAATGCATAAATAAATAGTCCATGAGAACACAAAAAAGCCGGCTTTAGTTTTTAATTTCTTGTATTTGAACTCTTGAATTCCACATACATTTTCTAGGGGGGGGGAGATGGAAGATACACACAATTTCTTTGAGCTTTCACTCTGTTTTCCTAAGAGGAGGCTGGTTCTGTAATTTAAAAACCAGGAGGGTGATGCTTCTGTTGTTTGCAAGAAATTCTCATGCACTCCCATTTGATACTGTTACCTGGCCGCTGCCCAAACGTCTTTAATTTCATAATCCTTTAAAGGACTTTTTATAACCTGCTTTCAATATACAGATGACCACACTGAAAACAAATCCCCCACTAGGCTTTTGATGGAATTTCATGAACCAGGTCTCATATCCTTATAAAGAAGAAAGTCCTTGATTAGGACTGGAAGGAAGTCTATCGTTGGGATGATCTTTGGTGCACGTGTTGTGCCCAAGTGCTCCGTGATGGCCACCCGACAGAGGTGTAAGAGAGAGTGAGGTTTGCCTGGAAGAAATGAGAGGAAAGTAAACGAATTGAATAAGATCCCAATTTGGTTGAAAGCAGTGTTCTTTTGAGTCTATCACAAGTCCTTTCACAAATCTATTCACAATGCCAGCCAAAAGTCCCTTCACAAGGTCAGTACACAGTGGCTCATTTGAATACCTTGTGAATTGGCTTAAGACTGAATGACTTGAGATGGACTTACGGGGACACCCAGGACTTGTGATGGACTTGAATACAACACTGGTTGACAGGTTGATGAAAGAGTCACAATACCGAAGAAATATGACACGCTTGTGCCCGAAACCAAACAGTATGGATTCGCAATATCGTGCAAAACTAAACATTTGCAAATTTTCTAACATCACCCTAGACTGCTGAGTTATTGTGACCCGAAATGAATAACATCTACAAGTAGATACAAATGTATCTAATATTTCCCATGGTGCACAGACAGTGAAGCAAGATTTGCAGTGTCAGATTTGTTAGCATGGTGTGCACTCAGCTCCAAACCTCCAGACATGCATGTATGACTAACAAATCCTTCTTGTTTGTGTCTGTAACTGGCATGCTAAAGACAACACTGATTACACACTTCATTAGGAATATATTCCAGGTAATTCAGTGATGTGATGAGAGTGGGTGGATATTGATGAGTGTGATACCTCACTTTGACGGCGGTAAAGAGGAACCCGCTATCAAATGTGAGAAGAGTATATGATGTTGCTGAAAAAACTTACTTGTCAGAGAGACAACTTTGTCATAGCAGCCTAATTCCTGAAGACGCTTGATGTTGTGTTCACAAAGGCACAGCCTGTCAACATAGCCATAAATCAGTTTCATCACGCAGGTAACTTCTGAGGCATGCAGTGTTAATATGTTAGCATTGATCCTAGGGCATAAACCGTGCGCTGCTTGACAGTTGAAACGGATCCGCAATCCTCTGTCCATAAGAAGCCTGAGGGCATCCAGTGGAAAGAGCATGTGAAACAAATCTGAGAGGATGTGCTTGCAGTCAATCTTCCCGCAATGATCTAGGAGCAGCTCCGTGGCCCTGGTGTCGTCCCTGAACATCGTCAGCAAGCAGTACTGGTCGGACGGTCGGCAGACGCTGGCCCCGGACTCCAGCAGCAGTGCTGCCGTGGTGTAGTGGCCCATCTGGGTGGCGCAGTAGAAAGGCGGGGGGTCGATGTCCAGTGTCTGCGCCATTTGCAGCAGCATCCCCTTGGTGTTCTCAGTTGGGTTCCTGACCCCGCAGTCAGGGTCACAGCCTGCGTCCAGCAGCATCTTGATGGCCTCGTCGTGGCCTCCCCGGGCAGCCAGCTGCAGAGGGGTGAGTAACTCTTCCCACTCCCCTGGAATCTTGACTTGCTCTAGCACTGAGAGACTTGGCGGTATCAGCAACTTTAAACTCCTAGATAAAGTAAAAAAAAAACACACAAGCTAATAGTTTATAGCAAAAAGTAGTTGCAGAACTTCCTAAATAAGGCATTCACTCATACGATAAAGGTTTATTAGCACCATGTGAATCTCTTTTCTGAATGAGTGAGGAGCTGCAAAGAATCTGTGAGCACACTCATAAAAGGATTCATGCAGTGCTCCTGCAAGCTTCATCTCACCTATGTCAACCCTACAAACCTTGAAAAAGCATTCAGTCTTCAGATGGAATAAATTTCTGACCTACTACATTGTACTTCAAGTTAAAAGTTAAACACAAATATAAATGCTGTTTAATTAACCACTTGCTGCCGGGTGGATTTTCTTGAGCAAGACAAGATGCTGGGTCCTTTTCAAGATTTTCAGTTTTCAAATTTCTTCAAAAATTCATCATTTCATTTAATGGCCGTTTATACCCACATAAAGGACTCTTTGGGTACTACTCTAAAGCTGACAGGTAAATTCATTGACTCCTGAACATTTCAGCCAGGCCTGCAGCTTTGGAAAAAGAGCCCAGATTGTGCGGTGTTACGTAAGATTCTTTTGTTCCCGTAACCGGCACAGTGCACTGCTGACATCTTTTCAATAGGGGCCAGATTAGCGTGCAGCGGTGCTGTGTGGCTTATCGCTGCGGTGGTGGAGCGCTTTTGTCCCCGATGGTAATCCGCTCGCTCTAAATGCCTCAAACCATGGTATACTGTTTCAAAACAAGGTTGGATTATCTCCACTATTGAGAGCGAAAAATGTCGGTAATGCCCAGCAGCTCTGTCTTTTGTGCTGAGCACGGTCTTTTGTTATAAGGCCCAACTCTTTTGTCCCAGTTCCGGGCTCCCCGGCTCTGCATAAAAAGCCTATGTACTCGAAAACGGGTCGCCCAGCAAGAAGTGGTTAAAGATGACTCAGTTGATAGATTCTCACTTTTCTTGCCATAAGATGTATTAGAGTGCACTAAAAAGACTTCCTCAACCTTAATTAGAAATGGACAGAATAAAGCCTGCCTCACAATGCAACAGAACATACTGCACCAGATGAAACATTAGTTCATCTAAATTGTACAAGTTCAGTCAAGGAGTCGATTTGGTCACAATAGACTCATTTTCCACAGAGGATAGTTCAGTGAAACTCACTTCAAGTGGCCTCTGAAAGCTGCAACGTGTATGGGCCGGAATCCTTGAGCAGTATTTGTCGGTATATCTACCACCGCACCGTGAATCAACAAGTACTCCACACACTGTGAATACCCTTCCTGTGCTGCTAGATACAATGGGGTGGCATTGTCCTCTGCCCTGGCATTGGGATCAGCTCCTGGTGTGAGGGAAGGCCCAAGCGGTGGCAAAAAAATTTAAGTTAATTTCAAATATAACCAAAGTTCATTAACTCATCAGGGACCATCTACATCTTTGAAATGTTTAATTCTCTCTGTTTCTCAGGGGCACCAAAATAACAAAATTACACAGCAATTGGTAATGCCAAAGGAAGAACGAAGAATACTGATTTCACAAGTTCAGCAAAGTTCAACATCTAGGGAAACTTTTTAAACGGGAAGACAAACCAACGTTTGTTTATGCCAAACTGCTGTTACTATGGATCATTTTAGCCCCAATTCGTTCTCTCACCATGTTCAATGAGGAGCTTCAGGCAGTCAAGCTTTCCATATTGAGCGGCCGTGAACACGGGCATGATGCCAAAGTCATCTCTCACATCGATCTTGGCTCCCGCACGAAGAAGCAGACTCAGGATGTCAGGGAAGCCACAGCAAGCGGCTTCATGGAGAAGGGACCAGCCCCCAAACAGATGGCTGTTGACATTAGCCCCTTGCCTCAGCAGGAAAGCAACACAATCCTTGTGGTTGCCCGACACGGCTGAGTAGTAAACAAAGGCAGGAGAAATATATACAGGAATTTCTTGAGTCAAATTGCACAAGATTTCTTATGCTTTTGTCACAGGCACGAAGCAAGAAGCAGAGCCTTAGGCAATGTAGTCCCTGATAAAAAAATGCTTTGTACTCAAATTTCAAGGTAATAATAATAATAATAATAATAGTTTTTATATAGTTAACTATAACTTAGATTAAAGCACTTTCCATTGTTACCCCTGCTCACTGGGCCCATGAAACCTTCCTAATACCATCTCGGCTCCCTCGGGAATATAAAGCTCGATGCTGCCATTTCGGCACAACAGCTAAATCAACCACAATGACCATCTCTGCCCTCACAGGGTACCCAATTACTCCTGGGTGGAGAGAGGCAAGGAGTGACAAAGTGCCTTGCCCAAGGGCACATGCACCATGACCCCAGGCCGGATTCGAACCTGCAAAATGCAGCAGGATGTATGCCCACCTTGTAAAATCGGTGACCCGTCCTCGTTGTTGGAGATGTTAGGATCACCGCCATGTTTGACGAGCAGCCTCAAAATCTTCAAGTGGCCAGTCTTGGCTGCAAAAAAGGTGGCCGTCTCACCCTCCCACGTCCTAGCATTCACATCTACAGATGAAAAAAAAAAAACATACACAGAAACATACATATTTTATTCACCTGGGGTTAATTGACTTGTGACTGGTGTTTGAGAAGGTTTTCATTGAGTATTCCTACCTTCTTTACTCAGTTTAGTCAGCAAGATTCTAACACAGTCATACTTTCTGGTACTGGCAGCCTCATGCAGTGGGGACCAGCCACGGTTATCATGGACGTTGATGCTAGCCCCCCTGGCTATCAGCTCTTGCAGCACCTCTGCATTTCCCATCCGGACGGCAGCCCCGACTGTCGAGCAGCGGTCAGGGTAGGCCTCTGTGAAATCCATTTGCTACTTCCCAGTGACTTTATCGTCCTGTCTGATCTCTGAACTCAGGAGCAGAAAGACCCTGGAAAAAAAGAACAAAAAATGGAAATCCTAAGTTTTGTGCACATCCATCAGTCCCGCCCAACATGTGCCTTGTTTGTTCCTTCCAAGTGTGAAACCAAGCATGTCACCAGGAAGAGGGATCCAGGTGAGGCATTGTATAACATCCCACCCTCATTAGGCCACATTTAGATTACGCCACTGCTGCATGGGATCCATACAGTTAAACATATTGATTCCATTGAGAGAGTTCAGAGACAGGCTGCCTCATTTGTGACCAACACCAACAAAAGGGAAGTGAATGTTACCAAACTCCTAAGTTCACTTGAATGGACAGATCTGAAACACATCGCTTGACTTGCTAAAATGCTACACGAAAAACTCAATATATCAAGCCCACACCAGGCCAAAACCCATTAGGACTAGGAGCAGATGAGGTCACTCAACTCATGGAGGTAGGAAAAGAACTTAGAAGAGTACAATTCATTCTTTCCCGTACAATTCAAAGCAAGGAATATAGTAGGTCTAGTCTCCATCATACATGTAAGTTTCATGATGCACTAGTTACACAAATAGACATAGGTAACGGGTCAACTCGTACCCGAGTCAACTTGTACCCCAAAATTTACACCCAAGTTAAGTCGTACCCGAGTCAAGTCATACTGCGTCAAGTCGTACCCGAGTCAAGTCATACTGCGTCAAGTCGCACCCAGGTTAACTTATACCCAAGTCAAGTCATACCCAAGTTAACTCGTACCCTATGAATTTCCACATTGAATCTGACTAATGGAAGCATTTTTATCGGCTGCGAATGACGAAAGAGGAATGACGGCACATTCCCATATTCTCTGGTCTGTTGACTTGTATTGTTGGGAATAGTAAATTAAGATAATGAATATGAAAAAATATCATTTGTTGAATTGTTACTGCTGTCCCCATGTTTTTCTCTTTTTTTTAGAGATGATCCTGTGAAGGCTTGATGCCAATTGTCACATTATACATCAGAGCGGGCTATGCAGCAGACGTTGAGTGTTGCGGGAAAGCATTGATGGAAAACAAATTTGAATATAAGTGTGCAGTATAAGCATGAAGAAAATGGAAACAAACACGACTGAAATTGCAGCTTTTGGCATGCAATAATTTCAGTGACTTCTTTTCTTCGTGAATTGGTAAAATTATAGCCCAAGCGCCTCCAGCTGTACTGTTCTATTACAAACTTTGTAGTACAGTTTGCGATAGTTCTGTACGACCGGCCCGGGGGCAAATGGGCCAGTAAAGTAAACGTATTAATGATATGCTGTTTATAATTGTAAATGTTTTACGTGACTTCTTTTCGCAATAAAATTTGATAGTTTGCAGACACAGGCCCTAGTTAAATTTAAGACAGCACTTTGTCAAAAAAATTCGTCGTAAGTCCACCCTCCACCACTTCCAGTTAAAACTCCACTAGTCTGGACTTTAAGGAGTATTGAGAAACTGCAACCATGAGCCAAAGGTTTCAATGCTTCGCCGTGCGTCGGACTAGGTTTAGGCCTGGCATCTGGCAGGCGAGGCTTTCACTCAGCGATGACAACGATTACATACATGTATGTACATGTATGTAGAAACCAGGGTCACACAATCTATTCCTCCCTCCACGATCTACCGTTAATAGTGGGGGAGGCCTCTGAAAGTTACCACCACGCAAGCATTAAGCGATCTGAGTGCAGTGCTGAACACTCTATCGCTAGGGCCGGGAGTGAGCACTCGTCATCACGCATATAATTTACATGTACTGTACACATACGTACAGGTACATGTAGTTGTACATGTAGATGTACATGTACATCATAGAGCTACAAACGATGTACATGTACAGTGAACATGTAGGCTACTGTACAGTGTACTGTACATGTATGCACCGTGCATGCACCGTATGCCAGCAGGTGCACCATCGAGAATCATTGAAACCTAGTAATGCATTGCATTACGACAAGGCTCCATACTATTTTCCTACGCAACCTCGTTTGCCACTCTAACCAAACTTTGACATTGAGCAAGGTACCGCTATCATAGAAAATGAACAACTTGCCCTGAGAACAACTTAGACCCAGGGAAACGACTGTAAACAACATGGCGAACATAGCGAATGCCGGCACGGACATGACGGAAGAAGATTGACAATATAATTCGATAATTACAGTAATGCGAGAGTGCCAGTTTGTTCACTTAAAAATGACTGGAAAGTCTTTGGAGGTTTCACTTACAAAAGCCAAAGCGGATAATCCAACAAAAAGTGGCGCCGATGATGACAGTAACGATGAGGAAAACGGTGTACTGTTTTACGTCAACAAGAATGGTTTCCCAGTGTCAAAGAGTACATGGGAACGAATGTGGAGCCACGCTGCCAAAGTTCATCCTGAGGGGAGTGTTCCCATGGCTGAAATAAGGGAACAGAAAGATTTACCAAAGGTTCGTTTTAATTGTCACGACACACTGAGTTTTTGGGATGAATTTGGTGGTTGAAAAAGCATTAATTACAGCCCCGTCTCATGCCGATTGCACAGCCAAAAAGGGCATTGACATTGCTCCAAGCCTAGGCCTACTTTCTGAATGAGAGGGAGTAGGCTAGCCTAAAAATTCCTGATAACGTTATGCCCCAGCGAATCCACCCAGGTCACGTACTGGATAGGTTATAGGCCTCACCTGGGCCCATTTTTGCTCTTGTTGGCACAGTGAATGAGTGTTTTTTATTTTTTCAAATATTTATTTTATATACATTATAATGTAAGCCTGCTTAGAAATGTTACTGTAGCAAATCATTCTGTGGTTTCATGCTTACTGGTTCTTACATTGACATTGTCATATTCAGGAGATGGAATTCAAACCTAGTATTATATTATTTTAGTAGAATTTGCCATCAGTCCTCCAGTTAGTTTCCTCCTTGCCCTCATTTATCTATTTCCATGCTTTGACTATCTAATGAGATTTTGGGTTGAGAAAATTACTTTATTTTTCTTTTTCACAAACAGGTCAACATTCCACCAGCTCCAACATTCCAGCCTACCACTGCTGTACCATGTAGACTTGAGGCAGTTCAGGATTACATGAAGGAACTGCAGTATCCTTGAGGGCTTGTTGCCTATTCAAATACCAGTTTAGGAAGGAAACTTGAACAATGTTATGTCCTTGACTGCTTCAAGCATTCTTGTGGTGTTGTTTCTTCGCTCTTGCATTCATGATAAGGAACTCCCTCCCTGGTTGAAAATATCAGTGAACTGGGAAATTTGTTTTGCTTAGGTGCACAGAGAAAGTACAGTTCCTGAAAGACTGTAAAGTTGCATATACTGTGCTGCTGTCATTTGTCAGCTACATGTACGGTATTTTTGAAATTAAATGTCGATGTCAATGAAACCAACATGAAAAATAAACCTTTATTAGTGAGAGAGTCTGTTATATTATACTTTCTCTATTTTTTTTTTCAAATTCCAACACTGTGTCATTAAAGTGTACTTAAGATATTTAAAACTCTGACTATGAAAACAGAATTCAAGATAATTAAATCATTTTTATGGTACATGAATAGTCCATAAATTTTCATTTTTTATTGAATGTTCTAAAATGCAGCAAGTTGAATGATACTTAACAGTGACCACAGATACAACCACACAGGGACTCAGTTCTACGAGATCAAGAAAAACAGGCCAATATCAGGGTGAGAGATTTGTAACTTTTAGTGTCCCAGAAAAAATGGTGCAAGCAAATTTGCAAGGTACATGTATATGTATTTGCTCAAACCATTATTTCTGAGGACACAGTGAATGACTTATCAAGATTTGAAACATTTCAAATAAAAAAAAATTGTCTTTTCCTTAAAGGAGAAAATTTGTAGTTTTCATTTTTTCTAGGTCTGGAAGGTTAATGGCAATGCAAAAGTTTTACATTTTTTTATGGGTTAAACTACCATACAACTTTTTATGCATTTAACACTTTTCACCTCCCTCAGTCCTATGAAACCCCTTCCAGATTTCCAGATTCCTCAAAATTGTTACCGGATGTTTGAGGGATTAATGAGAGCTAATTGGTGCGTTTTAGTTGGATTTCCATGTACCACTACCTCCCCAATGGTGGATTTTTGAGGATTTGTTCTCTTTTGTTTTCGTTTTTTTTGTGGCAAAGTGTTGTTCTGTGGCTAGATTGAACTTTTCACTGTATGCTTAATCCCCCCCTTTATTTGGTTGGCTGTATCTTCACAGGTTGATGGATACTGCCAAAGAGATGATCAGGGAATCCCTTCCTATCAAGTGTTTAGAGGCTGTTATTCTTGCTCTGTATCCTTGTTATTCAAATAAACTTGTACCGAATGGCACATGCACGGCTCGGTGGCAGGTTCAAAGCTTACTGTGGTGGCAAAACCGTGAATCGCTTTGTTCCCTGTCAAAGTTCCTGCATGCAGCATGTCATTGTGAGTAATAGGCACCCCCCCTCCCGCCCTCCACACACACCCATGCATTAATACTAAAATTTGTATCCTTGTGGAGAGATATTTGTTCGTGTGTTTGGAAATATGGTGCCTTGTTAGAGACCCAGGACAATGGGTTGAATAGGTCTCCACAAGGAATTTCTTAAGGTGCACACATGTAGATCTCCACAAGGATTTCACTGAACTGATATTTGGAAATCGCTCAAGAAAGAGAAATTTTTAATGTGTAAGAAACCGTCACAAATTGAAGTGTTTCATATAAGGGACATTCAATCAAAACTTCAGTCCAGGAGAGTGATTCATTTTAAAATGGGAGCATTTTGAAAACATTGTTTCACATGCGACCGTATTAGTACCGTAGAACTCATACATGCTCATTTCACATACCTAGTACATATAGTATTCACATTCCTTTGGGGAAAATGCTATTTTCCTCCCACTACGATTACTCATTTGAGCTGAAGATTTGATGATGATTTCCTAGACTGTTAATCTATTTTGCCATGGATTCCCCTGACCACTGTAATATGTCTTTGAAACTTTCTGGACAAGGGAAAGACTTTGTTGACTTATGCAAGTCCACTGATCTGGCATTACATGAATGTCTTGTTAAGAGGCCCAAACTGGGTTTGTAAGTCGAGCACTTCATCTAAACCTAACTTCCATGTACGTGGACTTCATTTATTCAGAGGTCACCATTACGTGTATCTATGTAAGGCTAGCACAAACATAGCAGCAGGTAAAGGGGAGTTTAGCATTCCTGTTCTAGCTCTTCATTAATCATAATTCACCACAAAAGTTTATTCTCACATTGTGGCACGTTTTGAACCTGAGTTTCACTTAAGGCACCTGTCCCTTTTAAAATCAGGCTATACATGGTACCTATACTCTCTGACTTACATGTCAGATGCTCATATACATGCATTCTATAGTTAAACTAGAAATCCCTCCACACCGCATGTTGAGACCTACATGTATATCCTTCATCAGAGCAAAACCAATAGGACAAACTTTGCATCTGCTAAAACAGTACAATTTTGTCTACTTACTCTGAGTTTTAGCCACATTGCTGAGCTGCCGCTACAACGGCCCAACTCTCAGAAGAAAAACAACTGCATTCACTGCATTTTACTGTAAAACCAGCCAAATGTTGCTGTGTACATTTTGTTTCGTTAAATTCACCATGGTATCACTTATGGTATCACTTACATGTATAAGTTTTAGAGTGCAAGAAATGCTGTAACATGTAGCAAGAAATTGCATGTATGGAGTATGGCCACAAACTCCTAGTTTGTCTTTACATTTGTCACTGATAAATTTACTTGTGTACATGTACATGTACACGTAGATGTAATGCTGTAATGCTGTGTCGCACTCAAATTGTTACAGGATATGTATTTTTTACAAGACCTATAAAAATGTACTCCGTGATCCCAACTGTCATTTCCTGGGGAACCTTAACCATTCTCCTTCTGAAGATACCTTACAAATGGAGCACCAGGCCTAGAACGGTTTCCTGTCAGCTTTAAGACCTTATTCTCAGGAACAGTCCACCGACACGTTGTGCTCGGGGTGTACTACTCAGGCCGATACGGAGCCCTGGGAATGAGTCGGAGGGAGGACCTCATGTACAAACCCTTGGAGTTCAGGGTTGGTTGACCTACATGTATCTCAGTCAGTCTCTTTCCCATTGGTTTTTCATTTACTTTTGACATTTTCTACCCGTCTTCTGTGATTGTTTTCAGTCACTGTTCTGTCTTGTTTGTGCCCTGAAATATGTTGATAACAACATTTACTGAGATTACTGAATATGTATTTTAAAGGTTAAACGTGAAAGTGCTCCAAAAATGACAGTGCGACTTTCATCAAAGTGCCAATTCGGAAACGATGAATGAAGGAAACTTATCTCACTTGGAAGAAAGGAGCTTGTTTGATGAGAATATGTCATGAGTTACAAATGACGCCAAATAAGACCAGTATGCAGATTAAGACACAATTTGAAAATAGCAATATAGGCAGTGTGCATTCTTACTGTCACCGATGAAGTATTTTGTACTTTCTCCCTTTCAGAATCTCTGGGAGCTAATATTTGACTTTGAAGATGCATACAAGAAATGTAAGTAAGGCTTTGAACCTCTTAAATTAAGAGACTACTGGAGATTTCTTTTTGGAAAAAAATGTCTTGTTGACATTGTCATGCTCGAGAATTATGGGAAAATAATACCTGTGATGGCATAACTTCTGCATGACCACATTTGTAGAAATTTGCACCAATTAGCCCAATCACCCTTTGCTTAAAGGGATGGACTGGTACAATATTCAACCCCAAAACTTGTCTTTCAGGGGTCTCTATGGTGTGGTATTTCCTATAAACTTTAAGTTGTGAAAATCAGTAATTTAGCATGGTTGAAATCAACGAAAACATTTGTTTACGGCTTTGGAAATATTTGAGTTCCATACTTCTCCTTTTAATAAACTGCAGCGAATGCTGCAAATGTTCACAGTTATCTCCTGCACAGTTGGAAATTGGTGAGCATGCATAGGAGTTGAGATGGTGTATACGTTTGTTCGATGTATCTTATGAATATTCAAGGTCCCTTTTTATGAATTTCCCAGATTTCCACACGGTAAAGAAGGTCAAGATTGGTCTGCCCGTGTCACATGACCCACACAGCTTTGAGCAGATACAGTGGCGGGTGAGTCGCTTGTGTTATGATGATTCAAATTCAGAAAACAGCTTAGCACCGTCAGCTTTTTAACTGCCATAACATGATATTGAGATGTGGCCAGCAGTAGATGGTGTCAATTGCTGCAGTAAGAGTATGATTCTGCTCCACACAATAAGCCACTTGTGAGTTAAATGTGAATAAAATCTGGTACACTGTGTTATCTGATTGCACAGAAACGTAACAATTTGAATTCCCCAGACTAAAGACACTTTTGCTATATGTCATGATTCGGGGCAAGCTGTTGCATAGCGACCACCATCTCTGGAATGGACTGGTTCCTTTGTGCCGTTCTTATCCATTGAGAACACTGTAATGTTGTAAGGCATCTCTTATGTAACTAAGCAAAAGGTTGCCCCGAATCATGAGGTACATGTATAGCAACAGTGGTTTTTAGTATGGAGAATTTAATCTGTTCACGTGAATTTATTCAAATTTAACTCGCAAATGGCTTATTAGAATTAAACATCTAGCATTTCATTTACAAAGCGGGAATGGTTATTAGATATGATTTTTTAGTTCACACTCAATGGTACTCTACAGAACCATACATGTACATCTTCCAAAAAGAGATCTGTCCACATGGTGTTACCGCAAGCCCTCTCTTTAATTTTTGATGTCATCATTCTTTTGTCCTTTGAACGGTTTAGAGGAGTTGGTTTTTTTGTTTTGTCATGCAAGGTGAATTGTTTTAAATCTGATAGCCAAACTGTAATATTTCAGCCTCTAGAAATGGCTTGCAATGTTAGGCTATCCAAGAAATTTGAGGATCGAATTAAAACAGAAAGCAAGGGGTTTGGGAATTTTTTCTTGGCTCTTTGCAGTGACTTTAACACTTGTTTTCTTTTAATTTTCCTCAGAAACCTTTGTGACAGAAACATGTATATAGGAACTCTATCTTTCATATTATCATTATCATATAATGAAATACATACATAATACATGTATTAAGGGCATTGAAAAATACACTTAAGCATTGGACAGCTCATCAAGGGTAGAATTGAGCTAGGGTGCTTGAAGAGGCTGATGAACATGAAAATAATACCTTTCTGGTTGATGTCTTTGTTTAAAGTCAGTTTCTTTTCTTTGCTGTGAAAATGTGCGTATACAGACCATGTCCCTCAGTCCAGGCAAGCAGTCGAGGCTTGAAATGCAACGAGAAATAGAGAAATTCACAAAAGATTTGAAAAGCAGGGTGAGTACTCCAGGTCCTCTGAACTGACAAAAATGGATGTGAACTTTACACTTAAATCTTTCTGGAAAAAGGTGATAGTTTTAGGAAGGGGAAACTTTTTAAAACTGTTTGCAGGGGAGAACATTTTTGAAATCGTTGAGAGAAGATTAATAGTTGAAGCAAAATGTCCTTTAATATTTGGACAAACTGACTGCTCTGTTCAAGTCATCCCTGCATTGCACGACCAAGAACTATGAAAGCATTAACAATGAAAATGACTCTTGCAAAATTGCAAATTCCTAGAATCATTTGAATAGGCTGTATCTACCTGAGCTGGAAACCCACACCAGCAAACTTTGGAAGAGACAACTTGACAGGAATTGTTTGAATTGGGTGCAAGATGCAGATGAGAGAAGTGAACATTTCTGCTAAATTTGGTGTTTTGCTCACCAAATATGCATAAACCTGGGTAAACATCATGAGTTTGAACAGGAATTGACAGGAATTGTTTGAATTGGGTGCAAGATGCAGATGAGAGAAGTGAACATTTCTGCTAAATTTGGTGTTTTGCTCACCAAATATGCATAAACCTGGGTAAACATCATGAGTTTCCGCCAAAGGACCATTGTTGAAGCATGTCATCTCACATTTCTTCAGGGATCGGATCAAAATAAAAATGCTTACCAGTATTTTGGTTTCAAGATGCTTGATTTTCAATGAACTTGATTTGCCAGTGCTTTAGGTTTACATTGTGACTTGTGTGAAGTTCAGGAATTGCTTACATACTATGTCGTGTGTCTTTCAATTCTATGTAGTTCAAGTGGTCATCAAACTACTCCAGCTATCAGTTCGTCAAGGAAAACACCAGGCCCAGCTACGAGTCCACCTCGCCAAGGAAGTCTATGGGGCCGTCTGTTGCAGCCAGGACCCAACGGAGGGATTGCCACCAGCAGACCTCAGGTAGCACTGAGGCCAGCCTGTCCCCACGGGCCGTGATGGCCTATGACAGTAGCGACGAGGAAGCTGAGGAGTGCAGTCCTGCCTCTAAGACTGCCTCCAAGAAAGGAGGAACTACTGGGGCGTACCAGATCAGGGTGTGAAAGGGCTGGTAATTTGTGGCTATGTGTGTTTCTGCGACAGGAAAGAAAAACATGGAAGGCCACTTGGTGTTTTGCTCTGGATTGATGGAAAGGATTTGACTGTATCTGGCTATGTTCGGATCACTTGGCTATGGCAGACATTTAAGACATGCACACCTTTAAGGAACACCTGCAGCCATAAGCCAGTGGCATTAATAGGTTCACCTTACTGTGAACTGTAAGCGAGTAATAAACGGCCCCATTTAATTAGTGTCCAAGTACAAACTGATGCCCATTCAAAAAAGTGCTCAACAACAACCCAAAGTGGTTTTCATATCTGGACTTTTGTCTGTGTATTCACCTTTGGCTTCAATTTTGTGCAGATTGTCCCGGAGTAAAGGCTGGTTAGTTCTTAGTGCATAAGTGAACACACACATAATGTTGTGATGCCAGATTGAATATTCTTGTTGGGAATTTGTACAGGTTGAACACATTTCTACTGAAGCGGATTTCATCGCAAGCCTTTCGTGACATGAAATTTCCTTCGCTTTTGCACTCACATAAAGTATGAACCTTCCTCAAAGGCCAACCAGCTCAGTGCAGCCACAGAATTTGAAGCCAAAGCTGGGAGTATTTTCATTTGGTTGCAGCAAATGAATGTTTGAAACTGACTGAGATTTAGGAGAAGGCTCAAGGATAGTTTTGGTATGGAATGGTCACTTGTGCTGTTTAACCATGTTTGCTAGATCTGTGTAGGGCACACTAGTATCTATGCATGTTGGTTGAAAAGCATATAAAGTGCACTGCGTAGAGTTGCATGACTGATCTTTATTAAAATGCACAATAACTGTGTCTTTACATGGCTGCCGACTTGCAGCAACAACTGCATTCTCTAATACTTGATTTCTCTCTGTCATCATGTAAAGGCAAAGGACGCATAGAGTGTATAGGCAGTAACACTTCTACAGGAGTTCGTTTCCTTCCAAACTAACTACAGTACATGTAACGTCCCAGGGCAGCTGACGTACATTTGCATTGTAACTGACACTCATTTAAGAGAAGTAATCAGGCACAACTCTTGCAGTGACAACTTGGGCGTAAATCATTCATCCTGAAGATGGAATGCTTTTGCCGTTTCTTGACCGGAGGGAATGCTGTGCAAACTGTCACAAGTTAATGTGATAGAAAAACCCAACAATTCATGCACTTCAAATATCACCTGGATCTGGCGTGTTCGTTACATGTAGCTTATAATCCGGAGATGACTTGTATGAGAAGTGGAGCAGGAATTAAGTGTTATTTTTGTCGCAGGCCAGAGAAAGAGGATTGATACTCAAGATATCAAATTCATTCCCATGTTTGAAAACAGAATGCTTAAAAGAAAGTCTTTCTTTTGCGTGATAGTAAATGAAAATTTTTTTAGGATTAGTGAACCATCATGTACATTCAGATTTTAGTTTTATGTTTGTGTTACCTAGAATTATACATGTACTTGGAGCAAAATATATTCATTATTTATTTTCGAGAAGTTTTAAATGTGGTGGTTACACAGGTAAAAAAGGCAAAATCTTTCCTTATGTGCTTGAGTACTTGCTGATTTTCATCTGCATGTTTGTGTGGACTGCTTTTTTATTGTTTAAATGTACAGTAAAATGAACTTACATGTATCTCATATTTACAGACGAAACAAAGTATAATTTTCAATTTTTGCCCATTTAAAAGAGGAACATACATGGATGAAACAGGCCGTAATGATATAAACCAAAATATTCAATGACTGTTAAAAAAATTAAATGGGCGTTGTTTTAATAATGGATGGGGTGTGTTATTGGATATAGTTACCCCTTAGAATAACATTTCATAGGGGCAAAAGCTATGGTCTGTTGAAGGGAGTCTGAGCAGACATTCAGGAACTTGATGATCAGCTTTAGAGGCTGTGTGGTATTTTTCACTGACTCGCTCACTTGCGTGTTTCCGCGATCTTGACCATAATAATTGTAGTTTGTTAGGCTTAACATTTGCCACTTCAAAATTTTATATGCTGCCCAATGTGCCCAGCAAAGATTTTGCTCAGTACCTCTCTTATGCATGACAAAAGCACAGGATGTGTTTTACTTTTTTATGAAAGAAACTTTTTTAGAGAGTGTGTGATAGATTGCTAAACACTTTACCAAATTAAACATAGCTTCCTGTGCTTAATTGAAAGGTTCTTGACTAAATTTGAAGGTACATGAAGTCTTCTAAATACTATTCAAAGTTGAACCCATTGTGGTGTCTCCTCCATAAAGTGCCTTGTGTCTGACCTGCTGTATTGGCTTGCTGAATGCAGTGGGTTAATTGAGCAATAAGTTTTGTGTGTGATATTAAGTTCTGTGTGTGATATTTAAGAACTTTCCAAATAAATTGAAGCAGTTCTCAGTTACATACTGTGTGAATTTATGGTTTTATTGAGACATTTGCTGTATTCTTGCTTGTACGAACTTTCAAAGTAAGGACACTGTCATTGATGGAAAGGGGCAGAGGGGCCAAAGCCTATCCTGAAAGTTTATGGATGTTGGCAATATCTATAAAAGCTTTTTTTGGGGGGGGGTTGGAGGGAGAATGTTGATGCTCAGTACACTGCCCACAGTAAATAACCTGAACACAAACTGCATCATACCCATTCCAGCAGTTTGTCCTTCAATAGGACATGACTTGGCATTTTAACTTTTCCACTGATTCCAGGCCGATTTCGTAGAGCTTCCTAAGTTCAGAAATCTGCTAAGCATTGGCTTTGTAGAAGTCAGTTACCAGCCAGAATGCCATGCCTTGTGTACTTCTCGCAATCTGTTCTCGGCTGCTTTTGCTTAGTGCCTCTATCTACTGAGCAGATTTATGTTCATTCCACATGTTCCAGGTGCTGCAAATGCATACTGGATTCAATGATGACATATCTTAACATCATAATATATTAACGTTCATACTGGGAGTATCTGGAGGCTTCCCTCAAGTCGCAGACTGAAGGCTGCTGAGATCTCGTCAAAGCAGATCCTTGGGAATCTCCTTTTGGATGAATCTCTCTTTGTGGTGGTACTGTGAATGCTGTCAAAAAGAACAAAAAAATCTGTCAACAACCCAAAGTTTTCATTCTTTGCAATTAGAAAGGCTGCATGGGTTCATGTACACAGATTAGTAAAGCGAACAGAAGTAAATCTCAGCTGACACTCTTTCATGTTTCCTGACTTCATCATCTTTTACCAGTAAATCTGTATTTTAATATGCTGACATGGTTGGAGGCAACAGTGGATGCCTGGAAGAATGAGAGAACTTTTTAAAATGACATATTTACATATTTTATAATCCAAAAATTATCTACTTGTTCAAATCTGATACACTGTATCTTTGGTTACTGCCAGTGAAGGTTCACCATTAACAATCTTAAAAAAATATCCTGATGCCCTCTGAGAATTAAAAATATGTGGTACGGCATGGAGGTTTGTGACTGTTTATCATGAGCACTAGCAGCATCAGGACACAAGACCAAAGTTGCTACAAAATACTCCCACATTAAAAATCATATTTGATCCTAAACTTATTTTTTTCAACATAACAACCAAACAGCCTATTTCGAGACAGTTTAACACAGGTATTTGTACAAACCAGACAACATGAAATCACTATTTATAAAGATGTCTCAGTTACCGGTTCAACATTCAGTGAGACTCCTTCTGGGAGATTTACTTGAAGCATTTCCAAGAAGATTGGGGCCATGGTTCCTTGCAATTCTTGTAGCTGTACAAGTTGAAAATGGCACAGTAATCTTACGATTAACGACCTAAAAATCATGAATCTAATGCAGAGCAATGTCCCCAACACTGATTATTTAAAATACTAAACATACATGTAAATGACAGACACTATCAAGCCACTGTCGTACCAAACCCACACTCAAATAACCTCCTCTCACTTAACTGAGACTGTTCAAAGATGTACTTGGGGCAGAATGAATCAATCTCCTCTCTGTCATTTCTCTCAGTAAATGGGCTTTAGAACACCAGTACGTTTGGAATGAGTATGCACAAATTACGATGCTATTAACCACAAACACAACTTGTGAGTACACACAGATTATGTAAGTTACACACATAAGCTATATGTCTGTGCACCTCGTCACACATAATCATGAGTTTATACGTTTGCGAAAATTACAGGGACAAACTATAATCATGTCAATGTAGAATTTCAAGAGTTCTGTTTCCCATCCAGTCCAATGCGTTTACTCACAAAGTCTATGAACAAGGCCACTCAAAATCATTTCTTGTTAAAGGTGTGAACTTGATATCCCCTCAACACGTTGATGGCTATAAGAAGCAAAACCATGGGGGGAGTACAAGCACCTTGCCTTGTACACTTACTTCTAATGCAAACATCTGCCATCAACAGTAACCATTTCACTCACCTGTATGACTCGCCTATGTGAGGGTAACGTGAAGTCCCTTGGCTTGAGCTTCTCGGATGTGCCCGGGGTTTGGATGGTGTGCACCAGCGTTTGCTTGGTAGGCATTGCAAAACTAAGAACAGGTCCAAGACACCAACAAATGCGTCCGTTTAACAGTACTGTTTACCTTTTGAGTTCATCCATACAACCACAACCTTGAAAACGCTACCAAAAATGGTATGAAAAAGCATTGGTTTATGCATTTTATTTCATCAGGGGCTCTTGTGAATCTCAGGGATACACAACACAACAGAATGTGGAGGTGTAATAATACTGCACTTTGTATGTAGCTAGTAGGCTGTGCAGCAATTGTGAGAAATACCGGACTTAATCCTATATGAGCCGGGCTAGTTTTGACCATCTCACGGGAGGGGGGGAGTTCAGTTCCCGCCCCCCAAAAACATGTAAAGACTCTCATCAGAACAAACGTTGAGTTTTCAACACAGTCTGACATGTGTTTTTTAATGTTATTTGAAATTCAAGGCCATAGGTGTGCTAGCCTGCATGCATCCAGCATGTCAGTGAAGAAGTATTTTGGCTGACCTTTCAGGGAAAAAACAGGCACTGAACGAGAATGGTCCATGTATGTCTGATTTTCATAAAATTGGTGTCAAAACTACCACGAGAAGTTACTCAAAAAACTCCTCCTAAAAGTTTGGTGCATAAAAAAAAATGCAGTGCAGTGATATGTTGAGAAGGGGATTCCTAGCTCTTTGATGGTTAAATTTAAGACTTCAAAGCACATACAGATGTCGGATGCACCACGAAGTGACGTATCATGGATAGTTGCCGCACCATGCACTCACATATTGTGTGCACAAAGTCTATGGACAGTGCGTCACTTTGTGGTGGGCCAAAACTATCCTACACGTCACTTCGTGGTGAAACCGACGATGTAAAAACAGAGAAAGACATGTATGAAGTAATGTGCAGTGGGATATTGTGCTCTGGCTAGTTCCTCCGGTAAAACCAATGACGAGTCTGGGTTCAAACTGGCTCTGGCTAGCAGTAATGCTTTATGTTACACAGTTCCTGCTCTGGACTAAACAATGAAAAGTATCGATTCAACTTAGTTCCCAGGCAATTGGTCTAATTACCTGTCAAAGATCCTTAGATCCATATTTTTTGCCAGGTTATGGGCATATTGTGCAAAATGCTCTACGGCTGTACAATCATAGCCCTGGATGAAAAAACTCATGACCTCATGAACTGTGGAGTCGCTTGGCACGGGGATGTCTTGATCTGGAATCTGCTGCACTTTCAACTGGCAAGAAAAAGGAACAAGACAGCTGATTGATAAAGGAGAAAAGCCACTACATGCCCAACATTATGGACCCCAATCCAATCCAACCAACCCAACCAAACAGCCTAGCCTTGTCCAGCCCAGCCCAGCTGAACTGAAATGAACCGAAAGTGATCACTGGCATGAAACAGAGGGATCCAAGGTGGCAAAACCAAAATTTTGTTACAGCTCTATGTGAATGTAGATCTAGGTCTCTGCAAACCTTAATATCTGTGGTAATGGCACATGTGCAGTTTGCATCATACAGATACTTAAACTTGAAGCAAGCGTATGCATGATAAAAACATGTTTCAACATGCAAAAGTACATGTAAGGAAAGTGGAATGTTTGTACACTTCCCTCAAGATGCCAGAAGTACGCATGCACATGTACTGATGGTGGTATGCAGTATTCAGTCGCTGTACATGCTGTATGTTTGCTGAAGAGCCAATTTTGCTGGATGTACAGATGCACCGTACATGAAGCACATCGGCAGCCCATGTACATATCGTAAGGAAATTTGTGGAGGGGTGAGCTGAAGGGTGCATCTGTTCCAATGAAGTAGTCTTTTCTTCTTGCAATAAACTTTAAACAAAGTACATTAAGTTTCAGTCCTACAGGTATTTTGCTGATCTGAGTTTCACTTTTCAAAATACCCTCAGGAAGGCTTTGGCACCATATGCCAATCCTCATGAGTTCATTCAGTACCTTCTAAATCCCCCTTAAGCTTATATTTTGCAGCAACAACTGTGCATTGTTAAGCCATTTATTTTTCATCACTTTACTAGAAACAGAGTTATACGCTGGTCCAGATTCCACGCTTGCTTAAGGGTAAAGATAGCGTCCATGTTCTGAACTCTTTTCAATACTAAAAAGACATGCATGGATTTATAATTAATAATAGGAAACTGTTTATGAGCCACAACCTTCAGAAATGACACAAAACTAAAATGACAGATGACATCAAGAACTCTTCAGATGTACTCACTTCCTCAATTTCATCTTCAAAGGAACTAAACTGCCGTGCAACGTTTACCACCGCTGTTCTGACGGTATCATATTCAGATGCTCCAGATCTAGAACTAGAATTTGTAAAGAAAATGCATTAACTACAGTATTGATTCTTACAGCCATTCTTTTTAAACTCACATCAAAAATTATGACAATGAGTAACTAGTTCAACACTCTTTTGGCTATTTTGGAGTAAAGTGATGTTACGGGATTAAGGAATTTCTCATACCAAGTCTCTGTTTCTAGAAGTTTCCCCATGAGGAATGCAGAAAAGTGGAAATGTTCTTCAGACTCCAGAGAGTTGGCTTGCTTTATTCATGTTATTCTAGTCTCAGGCTTCACACTTTGATCACTCGTTAATCAAGTGACAATGACAATTCTGAAAGGGGCAAGGGGTCACATATCCATCATGGGAGATCTGCAAGTTAGGGGAGGGGCAAAAGATGTAAAGGACGTGGTGGGGGAGGTGACGTGGTGGGGGGAGAGGTCCCTCTTACCACTTACCCCCAATTCCATTGATTAGTCAATTTGGGTCGGAGGGCAATCAATGTTTATTGTGTATGAGAACACTGGCAGTGGTGGTGCAACGCGATTGTGAGATCATAATGATTGACTTATCCCACCCAACACTTACATGCTTGTTACACCCAAACTATAGCATCAGTCCCAAATAGCCTTACATACAGTACATACTTGGGACGGTGCCAACTGCTGGCCCAAGCTGACTTCAGCATGTCTACCATTGAAGAAAAAATTTCAAGTTTCAACCTTCTCCAGGTTACCCCTAGAACCACGGGGTTTGCAATCGAGCATAGTGTGATGACAAACCTGGTAGTCTAGGCTTTTGGGGCTTGGTTACATCTGGCACAGACTTTATATGCTGACAAGTAACGTGGCATTTATCCATAAGTTATAAAGTTAAACAAAGATAGTGCAGCGCACACACCCGCTCACTGTTTCATGTAAGCCCATACATATGTACTATGACAAGGTGGGTGAATTTGATTACCTCATGTCGCAGAAAGAGTTCCATAGTTCTATGCGGACATTACTTGATGCCCCTGTGCACAAACCTATGAGACTTGTCTGAAAAGTGTTTTCTATATAAATAATTTGGAATTTTCTTAGCTAAATTTCACTTTTTAGGACATGTTATCATTTTCTGAAGGCTGTTATAATATTTTAAGGGAAAATTAGTGCTTTCCGTATATATATATACAACTTTCCCATGTAACCCTAGCTTCCATGAGCATAGGTCTAAGACTTATTACAAATACCGCATGGGTGATTTTGCCCCTTTTTCCTTCCCACGATGCCTTTCTATCATTGTGAAAAATCAACCATGCAGTGTAAGCGATAAGGCTTATGACGAACTGACTTGACGTTAAGTTCATCCCCTCCGTCCCGCTTGGTCATCACAGCACCATACAAAGCCAGGTACAGTATGTTGTAAGGGTAAGCTACATATGTACATAACCCTTTTTGCTGCTCGCAATGCATTTTGGGGCTTGGATGACAAACAGGCCATGCATAAACCTACAGGGAAGTGACCCAGTAAGAAATGAATTTTACAGTTTAATTCAGAATATTTTTCAAGTATCTGCTCATCCCCTCACAGATGCACGCATAGTAATACAAGGAAGATTTCAAATGTTTCAAATGTTTGTAAAAAGAAAAATCACCTTTAATTGTCTTTTTTTAAGGGCACTAGTCATTCTACCTGTATGCTGAAAAGAATGTGATTGGTCAATGTCGGATGAATGAGCTACAAGTCGTGATTTTGATTGGCTTAGTAGTAGTACTACATGTAGGCCCTACTACTAGGCGTTAATATTCATGATCTTAAACTTCGAAGTTTATACATGTGTCTTCATCCCATGTTCATCCCAAATCTATGCAGCACCCAGTGTGAGAAGAGGGTGGCATTGGAACATGTAATAAAATGGAAGCGAATTAACGTTTTGTGGGTACACTTCTCCCATTGGGTTATGCATAATATGGATTGAACACCCCGCAGAATACCCCGCCACCCCGCATGATCAACCTTACTCATAGCCAGGTACAGGTCAAAGTGTCACACTCTTCGTAAGGGATTTTTATCTTGTACCCACGTAACCAGTCATTCCAGGGGTAGGCCTAGTTTTTTTTTTTTTTTTTAGAGTGGCGGGGTATTCTGTAATTACTCCAAGGGTTTATTGACACATGATTGACATGACACGACCCAACGACCATACACAATGACGCCATGCACGAAGACAGTAAAGAGTAGGGCCTATTTGTGATGAAATGCTTACCTAATTTTACTGCTCACTCTCCTACAAAAAAGACTCTTTAATACTGTATGCTTAATCATGATTTCTGTCAAACCAGCAGACTGGGAAAGTGGAAAATTGAACACTGAAATTGAGTGACAAATTCACCGTTTTACCATGGTTTTACTAACATCCAACTCAACAACTGGCCTATGGGAAACGACTGCGGTTGTGGCTAATTAAATTGAACTACGCGATACCGCAAGCCGTAGCCAAGTAATTTAGGCACGGTTACAAAGTTGAGAAATACAAAGAGGGCGCTATTGCAAATGGCGCTTCCCATTGGGGCGTGCGTGACTTGCGCACCTGACAATGCCTAAAGGAATCGACATCAGAGGAAATTAGTGTCCTGGAGCAGATCAACACTGTGGTACAGTGGTAGGGCTCAGTACTCTGACACTTGTGACAATGTTCTCTGTTTTATCATTAGGCCTACAAACAAGTACTAGTAAAGTTGGCCTACCGGCCCAGACATGCCATCGCCAGAGTGTCCCCCTGGTCACGCAGAGAACTCAGTCCCTAGAATTGTGTGGGGTTCGACCACCTGACCACAGTCCATATCCTGAACACATAGACCACTAATCATGCTAGTCTTGTGTGTATAGCCATGATTTTGAAAAGTATGGGCAAACAATGGGCGATTCGTTGGATGGCAGTGCGTTCAGTGCACATTACATGAAACGCAAAAATTTACATTGCCCGTACTTCCAGAACTGTAAGATTTACACAAACCGTAAGTTATAACAGAAATAGAAAACATTTAGTTCACGTGAAGTATTTTAAAATAATAAATGTGTAACTATTTCAAAAACATCATAAATTGAATGTTTACCCCATTAACTGATAAATTGTGACCCCAGAATGAATAAAAAGATCCTGCGTTTCCCCACCCACAAGAAATCCCCTTTTGGCTGTCTGCGCTCCCAGGCTGATATTAGATGATGTCATCGCCAGAACGCTGACATGGGGCTGACGTGGGGGGCATGGGTATCTGCTGGGGGCACAGATATGACCTACAATTTAAATCACGATCGCATGCCTTCATGACTGGCTGCCTAACTGATTGCACTACACACTCACTGGCTTTGTTCACATTGTCATTGTCATTGTATGTGTAGGAAGAAAACTTGGTTTAACATTAATACAATAGCGCTCAAAATTCTGATGTTTTAGAAATACAACAGAAAGAAAGATGATCTAAGTGAGTGACTTTTTTCGCCATGTTGGCTTCCGAAGTACACTGTGTATTACCTACATGTACATGTATATATAATGATTGAAATATAAGGCCAAAAAGTTTGCCTAATAATGTTTTCCCCATCAATTCCTTGCTACATGTATGTTAATTTAACTGTGTGGTTGGTTGTCTCAGCAGATTTTTGCCTAAATGGATGTGGAAAAGTTGCAAGCCCAGCTGGAAGAGGCAAGGAAGGAGATTGAGGTCTTGAAGAAGAGGTTGGTAGAAAACAACAGTGCTACGAGACGCTTGGACAAGGTGAGCATTCACTGATAAAACTTTAGCCCAAGGTAGAAGGTGGATTGTTAGATTTGAAGTATTGGTTTCTGGTAAATGTTGGTATAAACAGGTAAGTCTTGATGCAATGGTTTTATTTTTTCAGAGTTTTTGAACAGCAGTACCATGGTCAAGTTTGAACTTTGCATAGCTGTATTCTTGAACCTTCATGTAGGCTGACTGTATCTTTGAATGTTGTGGCAATGGAGCAGTTTGAATGCAAGCAAAATCTGACGGCAGTTATTCTTGAAATTTTGAAACTTGCCATTTTTGGTGATTTTCAAATGCTTGATATGTATGTCTGATGGGCATCATCAACTGACGTGATTGTACATGTATGTTCCCATTTTGTGTTTAGAAAAATCTCTAGATGTACATGTATGTTTTAGACTTATTAAATTGTAAATATCACTACTTCTTATTTATGTAAATTTTGCAATTTCATTTTTTTCATTTATTGACAGGAAGAGAAGCTCATTGATGAATTTTCTTCAAAGAAAGAATGCTGTGAGGACTCTGCTCCATTAAGGAAAAAAACGAAATTGGACAATGCAAGCATCGAGCGTTACGGCAGGCAACTTATTCTACCCGAAATTGGAGTCAAAGGTAAAGATTTCTTGTCATTTAAGATATTGGGACATATACGTGTGTATTGTATGTGTATGACCCTGTCAGAAGAGGGCAGCTGGGCAGAGCAGCCTATCTCAATCTTCTTTGCTGGTTGGGGGAGAGTTTCTAGTCACAGTGCTGCAGGCTGTTTTAAATGGTTGAAGCCTTTTTGTGCAGAGAATTACCCAATGGACTGCAACTATTTATTCTCGTCTTCTTGATGAACATAACCAGCCTGCAAGATAATCTGCCTTGAATATACAGAAGTAGTAAGATGCTGCCCAGTGCTGTTTTCACCCTGAAAGAGCTGAGGGGGGGGGAATTTAAAACCCCTGCAGCATTATTTTGATTCACATGCTAAAGGAGTTTTGCCAGTAATGCCTTACAATCCTTTTTACAATAATCTTACGAAAATTGAATTTACAGTTCTCATGAACATGATGAAAAACCAATTTTTTTCCAGACAGTTGAACTAAAAATGTTAACTTAATGTGAGCTACATGAACATGTGTAGATGCCCACCACAACAAAACCCCATGTACATTGTACATGTGGGACAAAATTTAAGAGGAACTGTTTCTTTGTCTTGGCAGGTCAACTCAGGCTGTGCAATAGCTCTGCATTGATAGTTGGTGCTGGTGGACTCGGATGCCCTGCTGCTATTTATCTAGCAGCTGCAGGGATAGGTAGGAATGCAGACCTGGTGTAAGTTCTCTGCAAAGTGTAAAAGCCAGTTTTGCTCTCCGTAATCCCAAGCCTCCCAGATGTTTCAAAGTTATGAGGAGGTTTGGAGAGGTATTTTTTTAACAGGATTTGGGGAGGTACCGGTGTGTAGATCTCAGCCTCTGTTAAGTTACTTTACTACTTGATGCTCCTTAAAACTAAATGGAATGTACAGGGTCTCTTTCAAAGCTTTGAAGGTTACTGGGTAGGGAAGGGAAAACTCGCCTAAATATGCATATGCTTCAGTCTTCTAGTGGCAGTTTGATGAAGGCACCATTACTGCAGTTACATTGATTGCCCACAGGTACTTCAGTACAAATCTGGATAAACTTGGTGTCATCAATTCGGGACAAACCTTGGTTTTGTTTGTGCTTCGTAAAAGCCATAAAAGCCTCATTTCCAGGCTGCTTTCAAACAGAGCACTTGCAATACATACATGTAAAACCTGCCCTCTCATCGATGTCAGGTACACTTTTGAAAATGTATATATCCCAAGATATTGGACACTGACATTTTAGGCATGGACGAATCTGATTCCCTCACGACAGTGGAAGTCAATGCTTAGTTACAAATGAGATGTCCACAGTAGGCGTCTGGATTGCAGCAACACCTGATAGGAGTCAGAGTGCCAGTGAAATTAGACACCAATCTGAAATGCTCCATGTCCCCCATCCCCCCAAAAAGATTACAACCCAAATAGGAAAGGAATAGATGTGAGGATTTACATTACATTCTCAGTTATGTTGGAATGGTTTAATGTACCAACAAAGAGTTAAAATCAACAGAGTCTCGATACAGTTAGGTTAAAGGTCCCTATATTTGATGCTGTTTACCCCCCCCCACATCTGGGATCAAAGTTATAGAAGGTAAGCTTTCATGACTCACAGAAGTTTTCAGACCTGTTCATCAGTCTTCTTGCCTCTGTTTTCTTCAGGCCAGCTAGGCATTGTTGACTACGATGCAGTGGAGCTTAATAATCTTCATCGGCAGGTGCTACACACAGAGGCCGGAGTAGGACAACCCAAGTCAGCCTCAGTCTCGTCCAGTGTTTCAAGGTAAAGGATTGAAAGGTTCCCAGATGACTGGTGTTTGGTTGCTGTTGTGTGTAGCGGTAACATATGACACAGCTGAGCTGTTACGTTGGCCACTTCTTTTGCCTTTGTAATACCAAAGAATGTCAGAAGGCTGAAGTCCTATAGAAAGTCATTGGGGAACACTTTGTACATGTACGTGTAGTTTGCCTTCCTCTCCCTATGGGTAATTTACTTGGACATTAAAACAAGGAAGTACACTTACATTTACAAACATGAGCTTTATTGTTTATTTGAAATATTTGGACTTGGTATTTAATGATGCAGCAAACTCTAATTGGGCGGTTTTAAACTGTTTGAAAAAAAAGGCATTCAAGTTCAATGGGGCAAAGTTGACTTGTGAAGTGGACATATATTGCCTGGACTGATGTACAAGAAATTCAGTAGGGCTGGGTAGTTGCAGTTAAATCCAGTCATTCTTACATCATGTGTCAACTAGCCTGGATTGGCTTTATCCAGGAAATTTCTGCAGATACAGGTTTCTGGGTCACATAGAAACAGAGCTGGTAACAAGTCAACTTTTGTAAGTCTAAGCCAAGTCACAAGTCATTTGCTCCAGTCATAAGTCAAATCACAAGTCAAGTCACAAGTCCCTTGATGACAGGTCACGTCAAGTCACAAGTCGATTCGGTCCAAGCACAAGCAAGTCACAGGTCTTTTTGTCTAAGTACAAGTCAAGTCGCATGATGTGTGATTTCAAGCCACAGCTTAGTATTGGTTCCAAGACCTGCAATAGTTATTCCACGATACGTGACATGAACCACACAGGAAGATTTTGGATATTTTGTTTGATGAGGGGCGGCAACAGACTATGGTAATAATTGTAGGATATGCATTATTCATATCACTTGAGTGATGATTGGTGGAAGTTATGCAAATAACTGTCAACATGCTTCACTTTCAAGACGATTTCAAATTCAAACATCCTCCAAGATCATTGTTTAACATTTTTTAAAAGATGTTTTGAGTTGAGCACTCACAAAAATCCTCCTATAGTTTAGAGCAGTAGCCAAAAACTTGCGATACACAAAAAAACCTAACCATTTTTAATTTTTCTGAGTTGCACATTGTCGCCTTCACATATGGTCACGAAGTATGATGTCTCTGTTTGCTTTGATATCGGGAATTTAGCCCATTTCTCCCAGACTAGAAATTTACCGGATGAATGCTCAACAAATATCTTAATATGGGTAGTTGTTATAAATTAATCTATTAACCCTAACACTCCTCAATCCTTCACCTGTTGGAGGACTGAGGGGTGTTAGGGTTAATGAATCTTGAAGGTATCTTACAACCACATAAGTGCGGCATTTTACGTGGAACTTTTACTGTATGTTATCCTATCCCCCCACAGCCAGTTACCATCTCTTAATATCTCATAATATCCTAACCCCAGCTGTCCTTGGAACAGTACATGGCCATAATGAGTTCGAGTATCGCCTAATATTTTTTTGTACCAATGTTTACAAACACTCCTTGTTTCTGAGAACAATTCCTTCTTTGAATAACCTTCATGCATCAGTCACCTCTGCTTCAATCTCTCAGTTCAATACCACCCTCAGTACATACTAGATATTCATCGGTCTTACGTGTATGCGTGTCCTTGGCGTGATATCCCAGTGTGAGGACTTTGCCAAGTACCAGCATAGAAATCATCGGCTTTAGATATCAGGACGCCATTATATTTTCAGTTCTAGGTTGAGTGATGTCATGAACTGATATGAATAATTCAATTTAAGGCTCAAACAAAGCTCTTGATTGGCTGTCCTGGAAAGTTAGAAAAAAACAATGAAAAACGTAAGAACTCAAGAACGAATGTGCTAGATCACAACAGCCAAGTAATTCAGACATAGTCACATAATGTAATTGTAATGGTTCGATTGAATTGTTTTCTGACTTGCATTGGTAACAAGTCATAATGTGCAAGTCCAAGTCAAGTCACAAGTCTTTTTTGCAAGTCCAAGTTAAGTCACAAGTCAAAAACTGAAAGTTACAAGTCAAGTCACGAGTCACAAAAATAGTAACACCAGTCCAAGTCAAGTGACTCAAGTCTACAACTATGCATGGAAATAATGCAATAGATTAATGTATGTTGTACCAGATGTTTACACAGACTTGTAATTGCAGTTGATGTAGATGATCATTCAAAAATTGCTCTAAGTGGATTTGATTTTGTTTTGTTGCTTAATCTATACAGGCCAGTGCATTTTTGTTTGTTCGTTTCCATTTGAAGCAAGGTGTTTGTGTTTCAGATTAAATTCCTCGGTTTGGTGTGTGCCTTACCACATGCAGTTGGACAGTAGAAATGCCATGGATGTCATTAACAAATATCCTTTATAGATTGCAAGTATATAAATGTATTTATAAAGCAAAACCTTGGACCTTTTAGGTACTATCTGATCATGATTGGGAGTGTGGCTGTGCTATAAGAGGTTGGTTGATTGATATGACTGGTGGGTCGGCTGGCTGGATTTCTTCATAGGTTTGGTTGGTTTATTTTGTTAGTAGGTTGGTCAGGCTTTTTAGAGCTCAAATATTTGGACAGTTAGTCACTTCTCTGTTCAGCTTTTTGGTCCAGTTCTAGTTTTTTGTACAGAACCGATGCTTTGCTACATTTACGCAGAGCAAGGGCCATTCAAAACATGTTTATCCTTAATACTTTGTGGTCACATATGACATAGTGCTGGACTGCACTGATAACGTTGCAACTCGATACCTCCTCAATGATGCCTGCATCTTGGGAGGGAAACCACTGGTTTCTGGTAGTGCTCTCAGGTTTGAAGGACAGGTAAGGTGCACAGAAGTTTGGACCAGAATGTTTATTTGGGGGGAGCCCAAGTTTTTTAGTTTTTTGGGGGGCTGGGAGTTAAAGGGAGTTTGAAGATATTTGATGACTTGTTAAATGGAAAGAATCTAGTTTCTAGTAATTGCCTTGGAAGTGTGGTAAGTTTTCCTGTGTTCAGTACTTTGGGAAAATTGAAATGTCTTTTGAACCTGAGCCTTACAATTTTTGTTTTTAACTTGATGCCAGATTCATTTTTTTCCAGCAATATTGAAACTGTTTTGGTCATAAGCTCAAGTGGATTGGCCAATTTCTTGGGGGGAATGAGGGGCACTTCATGGACTTGTTTCCTGTAATTAAGGTGGGCTCACTGCCCTCCCCCAAGCAAAGAAGTGAATGCAGCTGACAGCGAAAATGCAATCGTTCATTGTCATTAAATGGTACATGTACACGTAGCTTCTCACAGTCTGGTACTTACGAGATTAGAGTGAAAGTTTATAGATGTTTTCCCTTCCATTACAGCATTTTGATTTATTGTCATATTTTGTGACAGTGTAAATATGTAAGCAAGAAAAGTAGAAAGGAGAAAATGAAGTACTGATACTTCAGAAAATTTGTCATTTTTTTTTCAGCTCACTGTGTACAACTATGAAGGTGGGCCGTGCTACAGGTGTCTGTATCCCAAACCGCCGCCCCCTGAGACGGTCACAAACTGCTCCTCTGGAGGTGTTCTGGGCGTCGGTAAATAAAATAATTCACAGGTTCTCAGTAGTCAAAATCTGGAAAAGTCCCAGATCCTTTAAGTCCTCAAAAACAGTTTAAAAGACCACAAGCCTGATATTTCCTCCTTCCCTTCACCCTGCTTTCAAATCCTTGAGACAGTTATTCAGATGATTTTTGTTTTAATTGAAATTTCAGACACAGTGGTTGTTCTGTATATTCTTGTTCAAGTCCCCATTGACTTGTGCAAACAGATCTAAAATGATTGAGCGATTCCTACCTCGAACCCCAATTAAATAATAAACATAAGATTGAGTTTTCCATAAGAAAGTCTTCCGGAAGTGTGCTGGTGGTTTGCCTGCTACTGATAAAGTTTTAAGAATGTTCAGCTTCGAAGTTTGATCTACATCACTCAATCTTGCATCCTTTTGAAAGTGTGATCACATTTTTGTGAACACTGATACGCGGAGCTCTTAGGTTTGTGGTGTTTTATTGGAGTTAGAGGTCAAGTTCTTGTTTGATCAGAATGATTTTTAGAAACTTGTAATAATTCAACTCCAACTGTATGCTCGTTTTTGTTTTCACACAGTTCCTGGGATTATTGGCTGCTTTCAGGCACTGGAGGCATTGAAAATTGCAGTAGGTTTAAAAGGTATATTATGGCAATGTTATTCATCCAACAGGGCACTCCCTGTAATTATTGCTGCTGAGCTCAAGACCAAATTTTGAGTTGGTGAAGCATCCCTGGTGAGAGCACAAGATATTTGGTAATTTAGCATTCTCAAGGAAAGATCAACTCCTCTAGTATACCGAAATGAAACGCCATCCGCACAAGTATGCATGCAAAAGGCATCAACATGAGAACCAGTGCTTGAACCAACACGCATGCCTACATGTATTCTGTTACTTTGCACTTCACTTCCTGGTTCAGAATGACGTCACTCTTCAATACTCCATGTAGATTTTGGACATTTTGTCAAGTATTGACCTGTCTAACTTGATTCCCTCGTCATCAGCTTCCTTCAGCCAGAAGCTTCTCCTCGTTGATGCATTGGATGGTAGCCTCCGCACCATCAAGTTGCGTCCCAGACAGCCCAGCTGCAACATCTGTGGCACACAGCCTTCGGTCACAAGACTTGTTGATTATGAAGCATTCTGTGGAGCAAGTGCTACAGACAAGGTAAAAAAAAAACTCAGAATGATTTGAAATTTTTGTGAATCGCTTCCTTGAAGACCCAGTGGCGTGTAAGCTAGCCTAGGGATGCACACATTTTCCAAGGGGCTCTAAAAGCAACAGCCTGTAGCTTGTCTATACAGTGTAGGTTGTTTCATTTCAAAATCTTTTGGATTGTACCTTATGGCACCACCTGGTTAGGGGGATAGGTGACACTCGTCCACTGGCCCTCAGGTTTTTCACCTGTAGGGGAGTACATGTAAAGGAAGTAAACGCCAGCCTCAATGTTTAGTTTGTGCTCAAACTTGCCTTGAGCTGTCAAAAATGGATGACTTTGCTAATGATGCATACATCAGGCTTGTTTCGCCTGGGCTCCCGGGTGCTAGCTTGTTTCAGTTGTTTCGTTCTTCCAATCTTGTTTGGCAGTGTATGAGTCTCCATCTTCTGCCTCCTGACGACAGAATCGGTGTCCACAGCCTGTCCTCAATACTCCAAGAGGACGAGCCAGTCAAGTCTTCTGTCTTCCTCGACGTCAGACCAGCAGTGGAATTCGAGATCTGCCATCTGCCTCATTTCACCAGTATCCTTTACTGTGCACAATTGGTTGCAAGAAAGCTGTCTATCCAAACATTTTTTTTCAAAAGACTGGGGCTAGAAAACGTTTAGTTCTAGGTACTATAACCGACAAGCCAGGACAACTAAGAAGTCAATTTTTGATAATAAGAATTTCAGTTTCATGAACAGTCAACTAATTGACTATTTATGATGGAGGAAATAAGAAACAAAAATACCAGTAGTTGCAGTAATGTGCAAAACTGCACATTTTTTATCTCAGCAGTGTCTTCTGGTTCTGGTTGCTCTGCCAGAAACATGTAATGACTTAACAAAACCAGTATAATGTAAATAGTGGCTTGTGTGAAACAGTTAATCCTTTTGGAGTTGATAGACTGCATATGTGACCCGTTCTGTGAAAAAGGGTATTAAGGGACGCCGTGCGATTTCACGCTAAGGGCTTTTCTATGTGGAGAGGGTGATTTTGACTTTTTGGTTTTACTTCTATATTATATCAATGCTTTCACATTTCATACGAGAAACCTAACTGTTGCTATGGATATTCAAGAGACTTTCTTGTTGGCTGATTTCTTTTTTCCAATTCCTGTGTTTAAAGGGCTCTATCTCTGAAAGCACTTCTGAATATGATTATGCAAAAATCAGCATATCTCTGAATTGCAAAATGCCACAGGGTCAAACCTACACCAAATTAAAGCTTATAATGTAACCGATTCAGATGTGTATGTAACTCATTTTGGAAAAAATACCCATTTTTGTGGAGCTGGTCACATATTTTAGAATATTGTCAGAAATAAAACTATCCACAAGCATTTTGTCAGAGAATAAATATTTGGCATGGCCTAACCCTGAATTGCATGCATGGCATTGCTCAAATTGGGATCTCTAGATGGGCAAGCATGGACAGACAAACACAGAGACCCTCACAGGTGCCTGTTTACTATTTCTTTGTGAGGGTTATGAAGGAAAATCTCTCTAACAAGGATGCGGTTCAAAGCCCAAACCAGAAATTAATGTTGTTGGAGTCTACTTTCTTAATGTTTCACATTGTTGTGGTTACCTGTATATTATCATTGCAAACTTCAGGATGGACAAGATAGCCCAAATGATGTGACGACACAAGTTTTGTCCTTCAATTTTTCTCAAGTTTCTTATAATTCTTAATGTAGCTCATCCCAGATATTCCTATTGATGAAGTGGGCAAGTCGGAGCCTCTAGCTCTCATCAGAAGAGAGGTGGCTAAGAGAACAAATAGTGGGAGCAAATCTCAAGGTAAGATTGCATCCTTTCAGCAAACTTAACTGATTATTTTGGTAAATCAGAAATACATGTTGTTGGAACGTTGCTTTTAAGTGCTAACTTCTCACTTGCGGTCTTGAAACAATGGTTACAGATTATTTTATTTGCATTTTCAGTGTGCAGTCTACCACCTTCATCTCAGGCCATGTCTGAAAGTGGTTCTTTGGGGCTACAGCTTCTGTTTTGCCATAAGCAAACCAGGATGAGTAGCCACAGCCATAGACAGCAGTGTCCATTTAAGACACAGCTTGATATCAAAGATACTCGGAGTAAAGGCCAGTGTAGATTTTAGGAAAATGCATAAGCGAAGCAAATTTGATATTGCAAACATTGCAGCGAAATGTGAAATGTGTTCAGCTTTCGTGAATTTGCAGCACAGATATTTGATCTGTGTCACAATTTTGCATTGGCGTTTGCTTTTGCACCATGTATGATCTGACCTTAAGTGTGACATACATGTTATGATTTCTGTGCAAATGGCTTGTGCCTGATGATCATTTTGAAATCTTTCCTTCCCATGCTTCTCTTTCGTAGTGTTGGTGGTTTGCCGGCAGGGCAACGACTCGCAGATTGCCGTGAAGATATTACAAGAGAAGCTGGGCTCCTCTTCAGCAGTAATCCGGGACATTGTAGGGGGACTGGTTGCATGGACTTGCCACATTGATCCCAACTTCCCCAGGTACTGAGAAGGCAGGATTCCAAACAGCCATGGTCGCGACGACATCTATTGAGGTGGACCGTGCCATCAAGCGCACCCCATCCTCTGAGGATGGAAGGGGGGTTAGAGGCTCATCAAGTCACTGCTTCTGACCAAGTACATGACTGTACTGAGTCCTTGAGCAAGCCATTTCACCCCAAACTGCACTCTGCACATAGTTTGAGTCATATTGGCAGTACACTAGTTTAGCTCCACATTGGTATTTGATGTTAAAACCGAAATTCATTTTGTTGTTGGAATGTCCTTTATACAGTGACCCTCCTACAGAATCCTTTTTTCTCAGTTTGCATGCTTGCTATGAATGCTGGTTGTTTGGGAGGACATTCAGTGAGATGCCTGCAGTAATAAACAGGGAGTCCTGGGTTCGAGTCCAGTCCAGGCCACCTCAAGCAGAATTTCTCTCCGACCATGCCAACCACAAATGGTAAAGCACCTAAATCACTGTCTAGTCCATCGGAAGTCCCTTTACGAATCCTGTCACTGGATCTGTCACAAGACCAGTCACAAGTAACAGGGTGAACAGTAACAAAGGAATGCTTTGATCACAATTCATTTGAATGACTTGCGATTTGGCCCGAGACTGGATGACTTGTGATCGACTTGATACAACATTACATTAAATACTGAAGAGCAGACCACAGTGCCAGTGTTAGGATTCATTTCAATCAGATACAAAAACGCCAGGAAATACTGCACTCATCTGATATCCACACAGTACTTGAAAATTGCACACTGTAATAATTTATTTCAATATTCGTCTTTGAGGCACGTACACATAAAATACACTTTATTATATCACCTACAGTAGTGGAGTTGGTGTTTTACTTGTGTAAAATGCATATCAATACACAATGAAAATCAAACATCACTATTTCATTTCACACTTATTTTAAGTACCATTTCTGTTTGGGAAAAAAGTGAAGCTTCATTTAAGATCGTTTCTTTACTGTCGTAGCTTGAAGCAATGTCAGTTATCTGCAGCATCATATCTGCCTTGCACTTACTTGTACATGGTGACATTCTGTGGTCATTTATCAACATCTTACACACCATCTGTGGTTGGTTTGCTTTGTGACACGCTCTACGTAAGCCACACACGTCATAAAGTTATTAAGTGGAGACTTGGGTTTACTACATTTACATGCGTATGTAGTTAAAAGCTGGACATTTGTAACTCTCCAATGACAGTTCAATGTAAGAGTTGGAAGGTTGAAGTATGTGAATAAAATGTCCAGACAGCACACAGGTTGTCTGAATAGAAAACACAGTGGGCAACGTTGTCTCGCTGTGTCCATTTCAAGTACTAAGTAAAGTTAAATGGTACAGAGCAGGGAGTTACCAGTACATTCTTTCCAATTCAACTTGAAGGCAGGCTGAATATTGGATTACAAAACAGGTGCATTATCAACAGACTCGACCAATTGTTAGGTGGGCATGTTTTGCCCACGAAATTCTGTTGAAATGCATCAGTACAGCTCTAATATAACGTACATGTATGTCAGGTCATTGGCGGAGTCGCGCCTTCTCAAATTGGATGGTCAATCATCTGCAAGTTGGGGACAAGGCTAAGACACAGCCAACAGATTGTACATGTAAATGTTGAAATCCCTCTACACCCTGTGGATTGCAGCCGAGAACAAACACCAACCCAATTACATGAACTGACTTGGCACCAAATCTACAAGTTCGTTTTCCACAGCGGTGTTTTCGACAGAGCTCTTTGTTTCTAGTAAAAACACTCCCCCTCCCAGAAAGAAATGCAAGCTTGTATGCATTTTAAACATTACATGTTTCAAATATCTGATACATGTCTTCAAAAGGCATTTTGTTCAACAATATGTTACAAGGCCACTTCAATGTGTATGTGTTTTAAAAACACTTCAATGTGTAAGAATTTTAAAAACAAAATTGTATAATGTCATGCATGTATGTCTACATGTAGACATGTTCAATGCACACCTACACGCAGCTTCTCTTTGAGTTGATATTTCCTCTAGAAAAAGTGATTGTTGCCCCCAATTATTCACCTGAATACTCCAGACACTTCAGAAGTGGAGTGAGCTTATCAAACCTCACTGTACGTGGATATAATTTTTTTTCCTGGAAATCACAAAGTAATATTAGTAATGAGAAGGCCAACCTTAGACAAAACAGTAGAAACTTAAAACCTAAACTTCAAACAAAACCCTCCAAATGGTGTAGTTTGTAGGCATGGCTTTTCCCCATGGGCGTCATGGTTGGCTTCTGGAATGTAGAATTATCATAAGAATGGTGGTACTTAATTTGGATGGGCTTTTGGGCAATTACATGTACATGTAATTTCATGGTAACAACACGACAATTTGATGCATTTTGACACACATCAGAAAGGGTGTTGTGAGATTACTTTTAACAAGTAAATGGAAAAAGAGGCACTGCTGTATATGCACTATAGTACTTCTGACACCAACTCCAAGTTGCATTTTACATAAAAAAATTCCTTTACTTGGCTAATACGGCTGTTTTACAATAGTGCGCCACCAAGAGTTTGCAACACGTTGGCTAATTATAACGCAGGAAATTTGTCGACCCTTTCCAAATGCGCATTGTGATTGGTCAACACGTTGCAAACTCTTGGTGGCACACTATTGTGAAAGGCCGTATTGTGAATGTTGACCCTGATTCTGCCAGATGAAGTATAGTTTATTGAGGCTGGTGCACTTTGTGGCATTGGGCAACCAATAGCTACCAAACAGGTGCCCATGATGAGAAGGTTGGAGCTGGCCCCATCAAACAATGCCACTCTTAGATCCTGTGGGAGCTGGCAACCACAGACTCCACAGCCATTTGACCTTTGGGATAGTTGACCTGTTAATCTTTTTTGTACTCAATAAAACTCTACATGCAAGAAAAATAAAAGTTGTCATTTTAAACAATAAAATGGGCTGAGATGTGACACAAGCCACTTGGACAACTGATGTGTCTGCCACAAAGTTTGTAGCCAAAATAGCCTGGAGGGTTAGGGTTGATGAGATTGGTAATGGAATGACACTTTCTGGTTCATAAGTGTGATGTCACTTTAGTTCAAATCACGCCCACTGCACAGAGTTACATGGAAACATGGAACCAGAAGGTAATGCACAACTTGAGTGCTCATCCAATGGAAGCTTGCGATCAGCGGTGCGTGTGCATGACAAAGTCGGGAGCCAAATTCCATGTATTTGAGTCATTCCTAACCAACCTCATTAATATTCATACTCATAATCAGCCAATTAAGTAAAAGCTTTGCGACCTTGACTTGTGTGTACAGGGAGCCTGCTTCATTGAATTACTGTACAGAAAAATGACAGTGTGCACTGAAAATGCACAATGCTATGTTTCGCAACCATGATTACATCTTGATATTAAAAGAAGCCTGGTAGTTCTGAATTCAGCAAAGGAAGTCAAATATCTGATTCATACCCCTAGCTGAAAAATGTAAGTCGGCAATGCCAAAAAATGTCAATATGCATACAAAAACCACACCATTAGCTGCTCTCTAGTACTACCATAATCAGCGTTGGCCCAGTTGTGCAGCAGCTGTGGTCCAACATGTACACGTGCCATTAGGGGTTTTAGGTCAAATATCCACAGTATTGGGCTGATTGCCAAATTAGGTACATGTATTTCAAATGTCAAAAGGCCAACTAAATGTCCACACAATAGGCTAAAGCAAGAGCAAAAGTCTACCGAGCCATGTCATCATAATACGTGTAGATAATTCAAATGTCAATAGGGAAATCAAATATCCATATGAAGAAAATTGTAGTATTACCAAGTGACCACTGGTGCATAATTTCGCTGACGGGTACATCAAATACAGCATTGGTCATTCAAATGTCCCAAGGAAATGTTATTTAGCTATCGTGTTGAAGAGTCTAGAAATTAAGCACAATATGCCATACCAGAAGATTCCCGACGCTGACAAGCAGCAACTTTACGATGCCTATAACTATGGTGAGGCCTATATTGAAGTGGCATCTTTGTCCATGTCAAAACCTTAACTTGAAGCGAACATGTCTTTATAAAATTTCTCTTAAAAAAGTTCTGGAATAAGTTTTGAAATGGGCATTAATTACCTCACCTGGAAGGCATTTCAAAGACTAATGTAAAGAAATAAAATAGGCCTTAGCAACAATTGGTTTTAAAAATATCCACAATGATTTTTGGGTGAAAGTATTCTCTCAAATCATGATCATTTCAAACATCCACTAATTTGAAATCACTATGTAAGATTTGGTTTCCCTAGTGGACATCTGTTTTTTCTATGTAGATATTTTACCCATTCAGTGGATATTTGATTTACCTATTTGTGTATGGTGGTACCTAGTGAAAATCTGAATGACCCATTTGGACACCACGTCATATTCTTGACACATGATCTATGTTGATGATTACTGTACAAGGGTGGATATTTGACCTGAAAAACCTATATAAATTCAGGATCCAAAAGTGTGACATTTTTGTGTCCCTTACACCTGGCCTGTGTAATTTGACATGGAAATATCACTGAAATTGATTTCAAACTACTTCTGTTTGTTTGGCCGGTAAGCTGCAGTAATTCTTCACACTTGAAAATTAGAGATTGTGCTCTGAGTTTACAAAACCATGTCAGATGAGACAGGGACAACTAAAATATTGATACTGTGTACGATATGGGGCCGATGGCTACCCCTCCCACATGTCCAATCCCTAAACACACTGTAGACTACTGTTACCTGACACATCCTCCTAGATGTCTGTAAAGAATTCCTGAGATTCCAATCAAACAATGACCAACACAAAGGTGGTTTGTGTGTGTGGGGGGGGTGCTCTCTGCCCCATATCTTGCATCATATGAAAATATTGGACCCCTAACTCATAGAATGACCTATATGTACATGTATGTACGTATCAGTTGAGTCCGACAACCAGACCTTCCTCCTCGCATCCCCCTTGAGATAGTTGTAGTGACGTGTATGTACAGGTTCCAAAGTGACAGCACTTTAACAGTAGAAATGCAAAAAAAAATAAAAAAATCATCTTGTGGAATTCATCATCAGCTGTAGGTCTGCGTTAGATCATTTGGGGGTAGGTTTGTAGAGTGATCTGCCGCTATCCAAGTTGTTAAATTCCTGCATCTATATGAGGCAGAGCTCAAAGATGAAACTCGGGAAAAAAAGGAGATGCTGCAGTCTTCTTTGCTGTGCCATCACTGTACTGAATTCTTGGTTGCCTTAACTCCAAGGTCAAAGAGTCACTGTATGGAGCAGGCTTGGGAGGCACCACCTTGACGACTGGCTGCTTTGGCAAAGCAGATGGCCTGCATCCACTCCTGCAGTTCCTCCTGACAAGCCGCCTGCAGGTAGTACGTCCTCCGGCTCTCACTGGGCTTCAGTCGGAACACAAACTGCTTGCGATCGACGTCGGCCTCGGCTATTTCGGTGCCATTCAGTGGAATGTTCTTGTGCAGATTCTGTTGAGGATTTGCAAAAGGCAGTGTTTACTTAAAGAACGGCTGAGCAGCTTCGCATTCTTTTAGCACAGACGAAGTCTAATACATGTAGTTGTGTTACACCCCAAGTATAACATCTGTCCATCGCAAAGGTCCCAACTATAATGCTGCAGCTAGCCAACACTGTGCACGTGTGCCACAATGTGCGGACATTATGTACACATCTGCTACACATACTAGCAGAATCTAATTCTTTTTCTTGGCTCAAGGTCAGGTTGGCATGTTTTCCATTAATTCTGTCAGGTGCAAGTCACTCAAACCTGGAGAAGGTTGAGAACTCTACAGAAATTTGCTCACTACAGTTGGGTTAGCCCAACTGCAGCACTATACTTGGGACTGATGCTGTACAGAAGCTGTTGTGTGTGTGTGTGGGGAGAGGGGGGGCGACAGTTGTACACAGATTCCGACTGCAGGTACATGTGCATGTCTAAGGATAGGGAAAGCTCACCTTGTACATGTACCTCCTGCAGATGTTACATTGCTAAGAAAATATTTCTCATCCTAACTAACTTCTCAAGTGCATAGCACCAGCACGTAGTCACACTGGATGATGATGCCTCACAGCGATATCCAGTCAACAATCTGACATTCTGAAAGCATCATCACACATTTTTATGGTAATTTTTAAGTGCCCCCAAAACATTCACTGCATGAAAAGCAACAGCACACATGTAAAAAATAAGGCCTGGTAAATCTAGGCCCAGTATGTGATTAGGGCCTAGGCCTACATGTACATTACACATAAGTCTCTGTTTGTCCTGCTTGTGCCTCTGTTAGGCCTGTTACACCCCCAACTATACCATCATTCCCCACTACAGTATAGTTCGGACCTTCCCGACTACAGTGGTCCAGTGTGCATACGTACATGTACTTACCTGCTTAAGCCCAGCATGTGCCAAAGTCATATTGTTTACAATATCTTGTCTTAGATGAACTGTGTCAAATAAACTTGGATATGGTTGAGAGGTTTTCTATAGAGGCTAGGCTAACTTGGGGAGGTTCCCGTTGGGGCATAGGGGCCTAACCATAACAGACATAGGCCTAATGAAATTGTTTGGTCTTGGTGTGAATGCTGCTGTTAGTCAGGCAGTGAATGGTGACTTTATACCTTGGAAATAAATTCGCTTGGGATTCTGATAGATGAATAAAACTTGATATAATCTGCTGCAAGACATAGGCGTAATAAGGATTTAGGCCTCGACCATGTTGGAAAACAACCCAACAACACGTTTCATACTTCTGCATCATTCCCGTAATACAGCATGCTGCTCTTCAGCAGAAACCAGCGCTTCTCCCATTTATGAGACAGCTTTGATCTCTTAGTCAACCAACCACACTTCAAGTTCTCTGTCACACCTGCTTCAGGCCCATTGAGGGTTGTTCTTTCCAAAGTATTTAGAGTTGAATCTGCAGTGGTGATACACGCAACCTTCGTTTGTCCATCATCACCTTCCTCTACCCTGTCAGTAGCCATTTTGATTGCCCCATATCTTCAAAGAACAGCGCCCTCAATCTTCCAACGGTCGCGAATTAACAGAACTTGCGGGAAAATTTAAAAAAAAAGGAGGTGGTTGTGTTGGACCATGGTTGGACAAGCGGCCAGCCCTTGATATGATGCCGCTTATTTAGGAATTTCCCTACCTCCACATTATACACATGTATTATTTTTGTGATACGCACAAAGTGACGTTTCTACCAGATTCAAGGCAACCGACAGTGAGGCAATTGCATCCATCTGTCCTTTTGGAGTTTATTTTTAGCGCAAGCCCCATGGAGTAACTTAAGCAATAACCATTAAAACATGTCAAAGGTAGGCCTAAATGGAGAAATGTATCTGAAAATGGCCCATATATTTCCATTAATATGCCAATAATATTAATCTTTACTGAACCTTTTAGAAAATAACGTTTAGTGTAAAAAATGTTCCTGTCTGATGTCACACACGTAACCGACCTTTATTTGACCTGTTACCGCAAGAGTAGATTGCTATTAATGGCGTAATGGAAAGAAACATACCCCTGGGTCATTTTCAGCGGCCCAAAAAGAATGTAAGTAATGGGATTTCTAATATTTTTGACACACACGTAACCGAGAATGGCACTGTAGAGCTGTAGAGGATGCAAGGACGTAATAAATAATGTGTCCGTCTTTGGTATACTGAGATTATTTTATGGGTTTGGATAAATGTAGGGATATTTGTATCACATATATTGTATTTGCCCCACTCTTAGATATTTCAATTCTCACATAATTACATGCACGAATCATTTTTTTTTATCCACGTAGCGTTATGTCATACCATAATGGATATAGATGTAGCCCGCTGCAAAATGATATAGCGCCCTCTTGTGATGAGTGGGACAGCGCGCCTGTTCGGTCATTCACTTGCTTGATGCCATGTTCTTCGTGTGATTTCATCTTTTTAAGTTACGCCAAAGTTTTGCCAATATAAAGCTAATTATTCTGGATCCGATTAAGCCTGTGGCTCTCAGGTAAGCTTAAAAGCATACCCAGTAATAAGGGTAAACGTGCGTATCATATTTGGGAATAGAAAATAATTCACCGTGCATTTCAATGAGGTTATAGTCACGTGTGCAGTTGCAGACCGTTTACATGTATTTCACGTACCAGTTGCATTTACATGTATGTACTTTTCATGTAACACTCCATAAATCAGTATTATTGTTGATTGTGCCATATTTACTATAAACAGAATTGAGGGTAACTAAATGCTTAATTTGTTTGACATAGCGGGGGATTTAAGGGTTTCCATGTTAAGATTTCTCCATAATTTTTCGGCTAAAATTGGGTTATATTATTATGTACATGTATTACCTGACATGGAGTTTTGTGCTCGGTCCCTATTGAAGAAGCTGACTCCTCGTTTGTTGATAGGTTTATTGCTACAACAACGATGATAGAGTCCTTGGGCAAAACAACAGATAAACAATGCCATAAAGGTGTGAACAGGCCCTAGCACTGAACAATAATGATATAGGGTACAATGCAACAGTAACACTATCAAAGTTAGAACTTGCAAATCATGTAAAACTGGCGTAAAACCTATAGATGGCCAAAATACAACTTATAACGCTGTTACTTCCGGGTTAACACGGCTGGTTATTAATAGCGCCCTCAAGCGGCAAAGAGAACCTGTGGTGGTAAGAACTCTGCACCCCCCAGTCTGGGGAGCTAAGGAACATATGTCAACGGACTATAGTTATTCGATCCACTGGCCTGTCTCTGGTTCGTAGCGTTTGGGTGGCCGGCGTACGCGGCAAGGCCGTGGTGAGTGAGCTGGCGGTCCGGACGCAGGGACAGCAACTGGTGGGTCATCTTGGACGTCCTGGCCGTGGGGGCTCCCATTGGCTGCGGTTGGGCTCATCGCTTCTGGTGATGGTGGCACATCGGTAGGTACGCTCCTAGGCCAAACTTTCATTGGTTGCGAAAGCTCCCAGAGGTGGGATTGGGGATCCACAGGGGACTGATGGCACGGCGAGGGGCATCGCTCGGCACTGCCTGCAAGCTGTGGTGATGGCGCCAGGTTCCAAGGGATGGATAGAGTTGCTGGTGTATAGGCACGGAAGAAGCGGCGATTGCGGAGTGTTAGCCGTCCAGATCCATGCACCTTCACCTGGTACTGATCGTGGCCTGGCGACTCCACCACCACTCTGATCTGTCCCACTTGTTCGGGTGGGTGCCCTGCTGATTCTGGATGAAGACTTTCTCATCGATTGCCAACGGCCGGAGGGGACGTGAGTGGGCCTTAAGAGACTCTGTGGTACGAGCGAGCCGTGTTTGCAGAGTTTGTTCCTTCGCCTCTCACGCCTGGTGCCACAGGGGGCGGATGTGGGGATTGGAGAATTTGTCCAGTCGGTTGACGAAGGAGAGTGTGTCTCGTAACGGACGGCCGAATATTATCTCCGCTGGTGAGAGGTTGCAGTCAGGATCAGGTGTATTACGTAGCTGTAAAATTGCACGCATGAAGCGGTTGTGATCGAGGCTACCGGTCGGGCCCGTGTTGGACCTCAGCAGACATTTGGCTGTCTTCACCGCGACCTCTGCTGTGCCGTTCGATTGAGGAGAGCCGACTGAGGACAAGCGGTGTCTGACTCTCCATAGACGGAGGTAGTCTTCTGTATGGTTAGCCGTAAACTCCGGGCCGCCATCGCTCGAGATCTCTTCTGGTACACCGAATGTGGTGAAGAATGACCGAAGGGGGTGGACTAGGCCAGCGAATCCACCAAGGCTGGTGCTTGCCTTTGAGCTGTATACTTCCACTGAACCTGACAGACGATCACATACAATGAGGTAGTGGCCACCTCCGTGATAAAAGAAGTCTGCAAATATCGCCTCAAATGGTGACGCCGGTGGTGGCGATGGTAGTGGAGGTGTGGCGGCTTTTGGGGGCGTTCCAGTTACAATCAGTACATCGCTCGCGGGTTTCGCGAGTGTCTCTCGACATCCCCGGCCAATAGACAGTGGCGCGGGCACGCTGCTCCATTGTGGATGTACCCTGGTGGGCTGCGTGGAGCGTCTGTAAGACACGACGGCGAAGGGACGGCGGGACCACAACGCGATCTTGGTATAACAGGACGCCCTCGTGTGCGCAGATAGACTCGGCAATAGGCCCGGGGTTGGCAATATTAGGGTCATCGGGGTTGGGCGCCAAAGGATGCATCTGTTGCTGTTTCTTATGCGATGAGGGGCCATGAGTCCAAGCCGAGCTCTTGGACTTCATTGCAGATGGAGGCCATCAAGGCTGACTCTACAACGTCGGGACGGCCTGACATTTCCAATGGGCAGTCGGTCGCCAAGTTGGACGGGGAGGGGCGCCTTGATGCTGCGTCGGCGGTATGGTTGCTCTTACCGGACATATGCTTGATATCGAAGCGCCATGGGAGGATGCCTTGCTTGAGACGGAAGAGTCGCGAATTGGATATCTCAACCAGCGTGCGGTTTCCAAAGATCTTCACAAGTGGCTTGTGGTCGGTGACCACGATGAGGTTGTTGCACCCTTGGGTGAAGTACTGCGACTGTTCGAGACCCCAGGCAACGGCCAGAGCTTCCCCCTCAATGGCTGCGTAGCGTTGCTCCGCCGAGGATAAGAAACGGGGGCCAGCCAGGGTGATCCTCCACCCCCCTGGGCAGCAGTCTGGCATGCCGGATGTGCAGCTGCAATGTTGCTGGCGGAGGAAGTATCCGATGCCACGCTTCGACTAGTCGGGGCGGAGGCACGTTCCGCCTCCTTATGTCGAAAATCTCCACGCCCTGGCGAATGGCTTCCACAATGACTACCTTGGACGCCAGGAAAGTCTCTTCCAACTCGGGGGTCCATGAGAATTTGCAGTGTGGGCTGAGGAATGGCTTAAATAGGGCCATCGTGTCGCGAAGCTGGGTACAGTTGGCCACCTGGTTGACGAGACCAAACCAACTTCTGAGATCCGTCGTGGAACATGGGGAGGGGAAGTCTCGGATGGCGTCAAGGTACTTGGGGAGGGGTTAGATAGTAGAGTCGGACACCCTAAATCCGGCAAAATCTACACTTCTTTCGGCGAACTGGAACTTGTGTGGGTTTAGCATGATGCTTGCCTGGCCTACACGTGTGAGCAAGTCGATGGTCCGCCACCAGTGCTGTTCCAGTTTGGTGTCGAAGTGGATGGTGTCGTCAACACAGCGTTCCTTGCGTTCGAAGGTCGATAGTATGGTGTCAAAGCGGCGATTGTACCTGTCTCCTGATGACAAGAAACCCTGGGGTGCCCTCGTGTAGCGCCAGCGACCGAAAGGTGTGATAACGGTAGTCAAGTGACGGTCGGATTCCCGCAGGGGGACACTATGGTAGCCGTTCCAGGCATCCGTGACGGACTTCCATGTGTCCTTCGGGATACGACGAGCGAGCTGGAAGGGTGACTCTGTGGCGAATGTCTCCCATTTACAGAACTTGTTCAACGGAGAAAGACCAACTGGGGGGCGCCGTGCGATGGTACCATGTGACAGGTTCTCCGTATGGCACACGTTCTATGACACCAAGGGCTTCGTCGTGGCGGAGGTCATCGAGTACCTGCTGTTGCCAGTGCAGAGGGATGTTAGCCGGGGTGTGGCAGACCTTTGGTGTGGCTGCGGGATCAATGTGTATCTCTACCAGGGGTCCGTCCATACATGGTAATGCTTGGTGGGGGCAGGTATTGAATGTGGACGAGCCATATCTCTCGAGTAGCCAAGCTTTCATTCGTATGTTGTTTTCCACCGTACACGGGAACGGCAGCTCGGTTGGGCGTGATGGGAAGGTTTGCGTGGGGGCAGGAGCACATGGCGACCGGTAGGATATAAGGTGCCCGGCATCTGTCGTTGATAGATTGCAAGGCGTTCGTGGGTGGAGGATCCCAAGATGTGCCCGAGTCACTAGGATCACGGGCCTGGCCTCGCTCACTGACACTGGGAACGTTATCGATTGACGGGAAGTCATTCGAGAGGAGGCC